ACTAGGGCAGAAAAACACGGAGATTTTAGCAGTATAAAAATCTTTTGGCCTGACCTAAACATTTTCGCGTCAGGACCCATGGAAAAAAACATGCATTTTTTTTGGGACACCCTGTAAGTATGATGCGTCTATGATCCTTCTAAAAACGCTTATTGATGATTATAAAAAATCAATTTTTTCCGCGAAAAATCATCAAATATACTGTGTTAGAATCAGAGATTGCCACGGCTCCGGAGCCGGCTCTTGGCTCGGGCTCTGAGCGGCTCTGGCTCCGAGCCGGGAGCCAGAGCCGGGGCCGGAAATTTTGGGGTCGGCTCCGGCTCCCGAGACCAAAGTCGGAGCCAGGCTTCCCAGCGGTCAGAAAAGTAAAAATTTCGTGATCTTGTTAAACCAAATTGCTTGAAAAACACTGCGGAGGGCATGACTTGACTGGAGAAAGGTTGGCTGTATGATCTCTGGCGCTAATAACTTTTATTTTTGGAAAAATATTTTTAAAAAAACATTTTGCATAGGAGCCGGGATTCGGAGCCGGAGGCCTTTTTAAATTTTGCACGGAGCCAAGAGCCGGAGCCGGAGCTGTAAATTTGGCCTCGGCTCCGGCTCTGGGAGCTAAGAGCCGGAGCCGGAGCCGACATTTTGACCGTGGCAATCTCTGGTTAGAATTATTATATTACCGCCCCAAAAAAAAGTTACTTTAACTCTTGTCATAGCTCTATAAAAACTTGTCGTATTTGGCGAGAATATGCATTAGTGTATTATTGTTTGATACCAAAAAATCGTCATTTTAAATCTCCTTACTGCCCTTTTCATTTCTATTAGGCGTAGAAGTATGATCGTGCCGTTTTTCCGGCCCATAATTTCAATCTAAACAAAAAATTTTTACACTAAACCTTATCCAATTTTATATTCTATTATTAATTCCGAGGGGTTTGCACAATTTGGCCAACTTTCAAATCCATCAAAGAAAATTTTTGGCTTTTTTGAAGCCATCTAAATATCAACCCAATTTTCGGCATCGTTGTATTCAACGAAGCGCTGCTGCCGCAGATAGCGTTCCATCGGTTGAAACCAGTGATAATCTGAAAGTGCTGCGTCCGGAGAGTGTCGCGGGTGGGGTAAAACGTCCGAACTCGGCGGTTCTAGGATGCCCTTGACCAGTTTTTCAACATGGGGTTTGGCGTCATCATGCAGCAAAATAAAAATTGGTCATACCGACCGCTTTTATCATATCTCTTGGTGGATTTGCATCAAGTCTTGTTGACAACGGATGCCAGTAACCGTTTTGTCGGGTTTCAAGACCTCATAGAAAAGAAGATCTTGTTTTTTTCATCATATACAGAGCAACACTTCCTTCCCGGTAATGTTGGACTGTGCGGTCGCTTGTGTTTCGGGTTGTCAAAATCGATCCATCGTTCTTCTCTGGTCACTAGCCAATGCAAAAATGACTTTCTTTCTGTCTATCCATCAAAATTTTGTATGTTATCCATGTTAGTTAGGTCAATCCATATGACACCCAAGTCCCTTCTCTCTGGATCTTTCCCAATTGTTCCAGACTCAGCAAAGCTGCTTTATGCAACTCGTGTAACATCACAGCTAGCTTTTCTTGCGCACCGGCATCGTGTTGTTTGCAATAATCTCCATATTCAAATTTCTTATATGGGTTGGAAAATCACGGGATCTGAAACGCTGAACCCTTTTCCGACGGAATTTTTTTTACAGAGCACGACCACAGTAAGCTTCTGTAAGTATTCCATGCGTCAACGGCGCTTTTGCTCGCATTACATGTGTAGAGGAAAATTTCCCGCAAATGGCATTTTTCTGGGACGAAAGTTGGTCATCTTTGAGGCTTTATAAAAACCGCTATTCTAAACCTAACCATACGACGCGTATATCGATAGACAGAGTTTTCAACGTTCTTTCAGGTGATATCAACAGATGCACCAAAACTTTAACTCTACCCGTAAAAAAGGCACAACTAAAAAAACGGCACGGTCATACTTCTACGCCTAATATTTTCACTCTAAAACTCCCAAGAATGTAAGCTCGACGTCTCTATTTCTAACACATCTTGCAACGAACCCAATGCGTTCAAAGATTATGTATTTATTTTAAGCCATATCCCGTCTCATATTTCTGACGACACAATCAGGATTACTCTAATTTTCGGGAAACCAAAGTAAATGGAAGTCATGTTTACGCGGAGGGGCGTAAATCCAGTTGTTTGAGAGTTGCTTAATCCCAGCAAAGGTGGGCTCAATTACAGTAGAATCCTGCCTGGGACTTTTCCTATTGTGATGATGTTTTGCTTTGAGCTTTCATTCCAAGTATGACATTTTTGGGTGTTGTTTTGAGCACAATGGCGGGATTGGGTCCACTTTGAGCCTACAATTTTTTTACACTTTCTCTGTTCCAAGTTGACCTTTCCTAAACAGAGACCGTTTTGTCGCTCGGTCGCCAGCTATTTACACATGTTGAGCCGAGAGTCCGCCTCATATCTTGCAGGCGAAGTGCTCAAAGTACGACGCTCAGATTTTGATAAAGTTTGACACAAATTAATATAAAAATTGTCCTATGACACATGCGAAATAGTATGCGAACAAGCTCGCGGTTTGAAGAAACGACCAGGGTTTTTGGTCCGTTATTTAAAATTTTAAATATTTTATATTTTGGGGATAATTTTTGTCATCGAATTTTTGGCCCTACTATTTCGACTTGAGAGGGCAATTTTTACAAAAAAACCTTATTTCCTCTACCCAAAAAATGGGAATATCACTTCGTATTTTACGTTCTTTCAGTGCAAGTCTTTTCGCAAACTCGCCGGAGTGATTTTCGCGACACGCACTGTGCAAAACCAAAAATTCACTCTGCAATGTGCAATTTTTTGCTTTTCGCACCGTGCAGGCTTTTTTGGGCTGTCGCTCGCACCCTGATTTTTTCTGCACAGTGCAAGTCTCAAAAATCATTTCAGCGACATTACGAACGAACTGTTAGCATTTTCATAAAGTGCATGGACATTTGTCGCGGACCGAACTGTGCGCAAAAATCCGCGGTTCTTGCACCGTGCACTCAGCTTTTTTTTTTTTTTTTGATTTCTTTTCGTTCAAAAATCTGCACCGTAAAAACGGTTTTTTTGAGGTTTGCACGGTGCCCAGAGGCAAAAATTCACAATGCGTTGGCGACAAAAATCAAGGTGCACTGTGCGTTGGCGAGAAAAAATATGTCCATGCACTTTATGAAAATGCTAATAGGATCACATTTTCCTTTATTGTAGTTCTTGTAGTTCTTCCCTTTTTTCTCATGCAATGAATTATCCCGCTTACCAGCCTCATGTGATATAACTCTCATTGCAAGTGAATTTATTACCCTTTGCCGCTCTTTGTATCCTCTCATTAACTATGCTTCTACCAATTGCCAAAAAAATGAGTGTCAGATTTTGTAGGCGGCTTCGGATTTCTCCAGGATTTCTCCAAATTGTGGTTGGACTTTATTGAACGTCCGAAAAATTGGGTTAACTTTTTGAGAGACATCTTTTCCAATCTTTATTTTGTTGAAATGTATACATATAGTTTAGCCGATTTCAAGGAACTTAGTTGCATTAATTAATGGATTATCTGGAGAACAATTGATTTCATAAGATTGTGGAAAATCCTTGTACCGAGTGACACTTGCAGTTATAAGGTGATTCATTTTCAAGGAAGCCAGCGAAGGCGCTAAAAATCTCGTGCCATCATGCGATGGTTATTTCCGATTATTTTGTATAAGGCTTACAGGGGGGTTTCTCTAGGTGCGAAGCGCAGGTCTTATTGAAATTTGGCACAAGTTTGGACCATATTTTTCTACGAGAAGTGGGAGAAGCCTAGCCTAGCTCGTGCGCGTACATTGCAGATTTTCAGTTTGAAATTTGGTCAACATTTGGGATTTATTTGCAAGTTTATGCAATGAGGCATAGTATATGTAATAAATAGTAGCAATATCTTTTCAAATTTTTGGTCTGCTTCTCTAAATTCATATATATTTTGGCTTGTGCTTTGCAAAGATAGCTGACATATTCAGCGGCCTTTTATCAACGAGAGAGCAGGCAAAATGAGGAGAACTTTCCGAAAAAATGACGTTTCTTGACCAAATCTTCGTTAAAGCTACCTCTTCGTTAAAAAAATCTATCCTCTTCACCATAAAAAATCATAAATTTTTTGTGCCCAAAATTTCCAAATTTTTTTTTTCATTTTTACCGACTTTTGATCTAAAGACAATGACCTTGAACTTGTTTTGCTCTATCTTTTCTTCGTAACATGTGCTCAACTTACATTCCTCGAAAACAAGAGGCACTTTTTTGATGAATGATTATCCCTCCCGTCCTTAAACTCCAAATCCCCTAGAGCTTTTTTGGAAATCCCCAAACTTTGACGACTCAAACCGCCATGTGGACTCTTTGACTATGACTCTGTTATAAACCGCTCTAATGGACATACGATTAGGGGAGATCAACGAGCTTGAGGGGGCGGGATTCTCGAATATCCGCTGAGAAAAGATTATACGGCGGAAATTACCAGTATTCGAGTATATTGTACTCAGCAATTTGTAATGTCCTCTCGGAGTTTTTTTGCAGATGTTTTAATTACGGTGGCGTCTTTTTTTGGATATTGTAATTATCCGGGAAATTAGGATTTTATCAATTTTGTCGTATATAAATTTCTCCAAAATTGATAAAATTGTAGCCAAAAATATTGCCGGAGGTATTTTTAATTCATGTTTTATATCTTTGTGACGTTAATGTTATGCCATTTTTAGATTTTTTTATTTTTAGAAATGTTTTAATCCTTCGTATAAAATGTCACCTTTTTGTTATTCTAATTTTTGGGCCGTTTTTATGGATTTTTGGATTTTTTGTTGCCTTGAACTTACTAGTTAGGAAATGTTTTTCGTGAAGTATTTTTCATATTTTCGCATGGCTCTTCTACCCTTATAAAACTTGAAATTTTTAGGTGGTGAATGTCTGATAAATGTCCGACGGGCTGACCAAGAATGCGGTCAACGCTCAATCCGTCCTCCTCATTTATCCGCCCACACCGGAGCCCACGTTTCACTGTTTATTTACCACCACAGCGTTGATTACGTTGCTGACTTTGAGTATCTGCGGGAACTTTTCGCAACTTGCTTTACAGTATTACTCTGGTCGACTGAGAGTAGGGACAAGTGATTCTAGCCCTAATTGCACGCAGGTGAGCGAAAAAAATAATTTTGAAAAAAATAAAAAAAGTATTTTTTTACATTTTTTTTTATTTTTTAAGAAAAAAAACTTTCAAAAATTAATTTTTTTTTTTATTTTTTAAAATTTTTGCCTTCTAACTCCGCAATTTTTCAGCTCTACATTGGCATTCTCTACATCGTCCAATTCTTTCTCTCCCTCTCCTTGCCCAGCGTAATTGTCGATCATTTGGTGCAGATTTGGATGTTCGGCATGATAACGTGTGCCTCACATTTTGTGCTTGTTAATGTTGGCCGAACCGCAAGTGCATGGCTGATTGTTTTACTGTTCTATGATCAAGTAAGCTTAATGATTCTGTATTTCGAAAAGTGATATTGACAAGAGAAGGGTGAGAAGTGCGACGGTCATATTTTCTTCCAATTTTCACAAGCATGTGCCACATATAAATTTCTCAAATTTTTATCGCAAAAAATGTCACATTTTTGCCAACTTTTGCCTCAAAAATCTCGGTGATTTTTGCAAAGCGCTATCTAGGAGTGCCAAATATATTTTTTTTAAATTGATCTAATTTTCTGCCAAGTTTCATTAAAATCTGACCGTCTACTACTTACAGCACTCCCCTGAAATAAAAATTACAAAAATCTCAAAAAAAAGTTAAATTTTTTTTTTCATTTTTGTGCTTTTCCCTATAATACATAAACCTCCACTTTCCAGGCGGTTATCAACGGCTCTCCAAAGCCCTCCGAAAACAAGCAGCGGAAAATCTTTTTACACTCGGCGTTATTTGTTGTTGCCTTGTGTGTGATATCGATTTTTCCGGTCTTCAAATACATCAAGGTGAGCTTATTTCTTCATTAAAATCAACTCCAGCCTCCACAAAAGACTTTTCAACTACAATGTTTTGATTTTCAGCTAGTCGAAGAGGTGATTCAAGAGGACTACGCCAACGACATGGTAATCCACATACGGACTTTTAAATGTTTGACAACGTTCGGGCGGGGCTCGCAGCGGCTTCTGATCAACGCGACAGCCTTCTTCATCGACTATGTCGCACCATTGATTATGATTACAATACTGAGTTTGCATTTATTTTGGTACTCAAAAACTCATCGAGTGCAGGCCAAAGTTTTGACCAGAAAGATGCAAAATATCCGGCTTATGACTGCCGCGATTTTTTTCGCGTGTCATGCACCGCACTGGATGGCTGTGGGATGTGTGATTTTGTCGGATGTAAGTTGCAATATTAGTAGATTTCGAGAGTTTTCGAAAAAATACAAATTTTGAGCGATTCTAGATTGCTTTGGTTTTTTATCGTATAAAATGTCACTCGATTTACCAGTGATGGCCAAAATTGAAGTATTGAGACCATAAAGAATTCATAAATCAATATTTTTAAAGACTTTAAATTGACAGATTAAAGAAAACCTAAATTTTTCAAGGAATTCGAAAAATTTTGGAACTTTCATGTTTTTTCGTATAAAATATCCCTTTTAGCACCTCTCTAAGCATTTTCAAAGCCCATCAAAACTGATTTCCCTATATTTTCAGTACCTTGAATTCATCCCCGGCTCCTGGCAGACGCAATTCCTCGGCGACGCCGCCTTATTTGGGCCCTATCTTATGCCGGCGTTTATGTGGATCCCGTTGTCCGCGCTGTCCAGTGCCGCCCATACTCAAACCAAATTCTACAATACCTCCGCCTCCACACTGACAGCACCATGCTTGTCGAATTTGTACACTGGACTTCAAATTCATGTCAACAGTTCGCCGACGGATTCCAGCTGTTCTTTGTTGAGACATATAGAGCCAAAGGACCGAACGCTCTCCCTAACGCATTTGCATAAGGACGCCAAGAAAAGTGTAGGTGTGTTTTAGAGTTGTAATCAGCCGATTTAACAATTCTGTTCAAGGCTAGAGGCAAACAATGACTTTTCCAGTTTTCGTTGCGGGACCCAAATAATGGGCAAAATGGCTGTTAAAAAGAAATTTCAAGAGTATTTTAGGCGTGCTTTGATATTTTGAGTAATAAAACACATTATTTGGTGTGAATTCTGGCCAAAAATTCGTTTTTCAATTTTTCGTTGCGGGACCCAAATATTAAAATTGCTATTGAACCGAAATTCCAAGAGTATTTTAGACGTGGTTTGATATTTATTCTGAGCAATGATACACAGTTTTTGGTGAGAAATCTGGCCAAAAATTTGTTTTTCAAGTTTTTGTTGCGAGACCCAATGCCGAAAAAAATGTATAAAAAGCACTGTAGTTATCAATTTTACAGGGGATTTTAAAGAGTTATCCGGTATTTAAGACAAAAAAATACTCAAAGTTTTATTTGCCGGACCAAACTTTCAAAGTTTCAATATAAAAAAGGTTTCAAATATTTTTCATCAATTTAAAAATGTGTATTTTTAGTTCGCCCGTCCTCTTCGATACATGCGCATGCAAAGCGCGAACACCATGAAGTCTATTAGACAGCAGAACATAATGAGTCTTCGCAATGGACAAAGCAATGGGAATCACGCCAACGACAGTGTGTCGCCGATTCCGACAAAATACGAAAAGGTCAATCAGTTGACCAGAATGATTACGGTTGACGTTACAACAGTTTAATCTAATTTTTTGAATCTTTTTTTCTTTGTCTTTTCCTGTTTAGACTGAAAATTGTGATCGAATTTTAGTGTCATTTCGGAGTGAAAATCTCGCCTCGTTTTTATATGTATTTCATTTCCTAATTGGGTAATCGGACACGGGTCATATCAAACACATCGACGTCAACTTTCTTTATCTTGCATGTGCGTGCTTTATCATACGTTTTTGTCCTAATAAATGAGTTGAAAGTGCAGTCTTTACGATACAGCTGAAAAAAGGCTTTTAATTCTTGAACGTCAACAATTAGATGCTAATACAGTACAGTCGGCACTCTGTTGATACATAGAAAGAGAACAAAAAAATGGAGAAAAGTTTGCTTGCTTTGCAATTCGAGAGTTTCGCTTTAGCGCAAAATTAGCTCCTGTAGTCATGGAGAGCTGTTCGTCATAGACAGTTTTTGTTGTGTGAGAGTTGGTGGTTCAGCGGCAGTCTTAAAGTTGAAGTGGCCCTCAGAACAGGATGACCGTGGTTCCACTTTCACAATCGTTTCTCGTCGATTCAAGTAGAGCTTGGTGCTGAAAAGAAATAACGTATACAATACAGTATAGTTAAAAAAAGAACAGATGGAGCCCCGGCTTATCTCTCAATTCCAATAACTTTTTATTGCTAGAGAGCTTTTGTATTGCCCCGCCCGAAGATCAAGTTTTTCTAGCGTGGTATAACTGATCACTAAATAGCACAGTTAAAATCTTAGCAACTTTGTACTGAAAAACAATGATTTCATGCTAAGCTTCGGGATTGAATTACACGCACACCGGTGGCTCCTTACAGCAGGTGAAGCACTGCCGAAAAAATGTATCAAGTATGGTAGGTGACCAACTATGTATACAATGACGACTCTCCGCCGCGGCCTGGTCTTCAATTTGGCTCTGCGGAGACTCCGCCAACTGGCTTCGTCAAAGCTTGGTCGACTTTTGGCGGAGATCGTAAGAAGAGGTTATAAAACGACTAGCTCTCCTAGCATTCCTAGACAAACACGCCACAAATTTCTCTCGACGCATAAACTAGGCACATTATACTGCCTCAACTTACCTTTTCCGTCTCAAATACTCCGCCGGTTTGTTAAGAAACGCCTTCTTCAGAATGCTCCGATATGGTTTGAACACCAAGACTGTTGACAGTGTGCTAACAGCTCCATGGATCGAGCAAATAAAAGCAAGCCACAGCGTCGCTTCAAAGGCCTCAATATCTCGAATAATCCAGCTGCAAATGATGAGAAGTGGAATGACCAAGAAGAACCCCGGATTCGTTGTTCTCGCAGTCAGCATCATAGCCGTATTGTACCGTGACATTGATTTTCTTGAACGGTGCTCCATCGTGCTCTTGTAAATATTCCGAACAACGTAGGCTGTGAGAGCACCAAGGGCAATCACTAACGGCACCACAAAGCAGCAGACAAGGATGGAAAAGAAATTGTCGGCTCGGCCGGGGTGGTAGCCAAAAACGATTCCGTCGGCGACTTCTGGAAATATCAGAATTTATTTTTTCCGTTGAAAGATAAACTTCTAGCTTCAGCAAGGTTTTACAGCGGAAATTTTTTATGCGCGGAGCTCATATTTTGATAAAATGTGGCACAAATTTGAACTGATTTTTTCCATGCTATATGCAAATTTAGTTCCCAGTTCGCGCTTTGCAGAAACAACCGAGATTTGTAAATAGAACGTAAGCCGGCGAAAATTTCAGACTTCTCGCCGAATTTCGACACGAAAAGTTTCATACCGATTTCTACCGTAAAGGGTAATGTTTCCACAAGATTAAACTTTTCCGGCCCGAAGCTAGCAAAGTTATGGCCAAAAAATGTTTTTCTTTCTGACCGCTCTCTGCGTTTAGCGTGCTCTCTTAGCGGCGCCTGCAAAGCGCGAGCTAAGACTTTCACGAATTGCTATTTAGTCTATGTCCGATGTCATGTTCAGATATTGATGGAATTTAGCAACGCGTGTACAAAACTGAACGGGACACGAACCTTCTTACCTCTCTGCAAATCTTTATCAATCCTCTCAACCAACCTCCGATCCGGCCAATAGACGATATTCAATATTCCCAACGTCAATACAATAGCAGCCACATGAAGAAAGACACCAACCCCAATAACTTGCCATCTCTCGACGTTTTGTACCACCTTCCACTGCATTAAGAACACAACCAATAGCGAAAAACAAATCACCATGGCCAGCATTAAGCTTGTTTGTAGCACAACAAACAACTGCATGTGGACCATGGCACTAGTGTAGTCGTAGATCAGGAACCTTGGACCGTACGAAATCCCCATTGGCTTGGGGAACAGTGGAATTGGGCGCAGAATTATACAGTACCAAGTGACGGAGAGCATCGACCAAGTTGTCGTATTGCAAACTGTGCATTTGTAAGTAAACATCGACTTGGGTGTGTGGAAAATTGCCAACGCAAGAAGCAGTAGATGTGACGGTAAATTAACGATAAATGCGAATGTAAGTAGCCACTGGTAAAGGGCGGAAAGTTGAGGGTCAAAATCAAAAGAAATTGTGGAATTATCAGCAAAATTTGGTTCGAATATCGAACGTAGATAGGCTACAGAATCGAACATTGCAAGAGTTCACATGGCCTAGTCGTATTTATGGTCTGACGAATAAAAAGATTGCTTAAAATTTTGAGAATTTTTTAGTTGCACCTGCCTCACAAACCACATCTTAATCCAGCCGGGGGTTGTGTTAAAATGTGTCGCAGAGACTGTAAAAGGCAAAGGTTTAACCATCAAATGCAATTTAGCACCTGAACAAAACATAGCAATGACCAAAGCCAATGAGTTGGAATAAAAGCCAAAGTTTTTCATGGCTAGCCGAAGACCTAGATTGGCTGTTAAAGGTATGAAAAAAGCTGGCTAAACATTTGGAATAGATGTCAAAAAGTTGCAAATGACAACCAAGTTATTAAAATGCCTAGTAAAAACCTAGATCCAACCTTTTGGCTAGCTTTTTTAAGGCTTCATAACTATTCTGATACTTTGGCTAGCCGATCTAGGTTTTTGGCTAGCCATGGATGTCATTGCTGCACTTTGATACCCATTCCAATCTTTTAGCTAGCTTTTTTGAGGCTTCAAAACAAGTATGACACTTTGGCTGCCGATTAAAAAAAATTTGGCTGTAATTTTCAAATGGGCTTTAGCTGGTGAAAGGATTTTCAAAAATAAAATGTTGAGGACAAAAACGGCCTGATGACAAAACCGTCATGCGGAAAAAATGTCCATTACGTACAATGGGGGACCTGATCCATTGGTAAAAAAACGTACCATTTTTCACCCGGGAAGTATCAAAGAATGTAGCAAAATACCTCCCTCTCCAAGTGAAAAAATCCGATTTCAAAATCGCGCCCGCTCTTTTTGTGAGGGAAAGGGCAGGCCCTTCAAAACGAAGTTTTTTCACTTGGAGGGAGGTATTATGCCACATTTCTTGATACTTCCCGGATATAGATGGTACGTTTTTTGCCAATGAATCAGGTCCGTAATTGCATGTGGCGTATCCGATATGGTTAGAGTGTGTGAAAATTTCGCAAAAATCCGCGCTTTGCACTAGCTTTTCCCCTGTCAGGAAGCTCAATTTACCCATTTTTCTTTAGTTTCTACCACTTACCGCCCTCAGTGCGGTCGATTTTGAAAACAGAAATGGCGAAAGACGAACAAGAGCAGCTCAAAGTGTTTAAACCTGTAAGTTTGGAGCACCACACCTATTATCATCTCCCAAATTTCCGATGAGTATTTCGCACGTTTCAGGGTGAGATCATTACATCTGCAGCGACCAACAACCGCTTCGAAGTGGAGAAGTTGCTGGGCGAGGGCGGCTTCGGAGCGGTGTACCTGGTCAAACTTCAGGGCACCGAAAACTCGTATGCGTTGAAGGTGGAGAAGAAACTGCCGGGGAGGGACCATTCCAAGCTCAAAATGGAGGCGAGTTTTCGTGATTTTGGGAAAATTCAAAGGGTTACGGGGCTCAACTTTTTTGCAAATTTTGTCTTTATAGTCCTTATAGACTATGATTCTAAAATTTCTAAAACTTTTAGGGAAAAAGTTCCTTATTTTGGCCACAACAAAGGTACCCCGCGAACTGCGCCCAAGCTTGGGCACTAAAGTTAGGAAAAAACGCTTCGATCTAGCTGGCACTGAATTACTATAATAGCTCTATAGTTTTAAGGGTACCAACGAAGGCTGTGACGACTCATTTAGTTCCATACGGAGGCAATAAGTTTAGTTCCGGACATGTTTCATCGTATAATGTGTAAAATCACAGGCTGCAGCCGTTTTTGAAGGGTAAGGTGGTACGTAAAAAAGAAGGTACCTCACTAACTAAATCCACTGTCCGGGCATTCACAACGATGAATTGAGCGTGCACGCTAAATTTGGGCTAATTCCGACCAGTTTCCGCAAAGTTATAAGTTGTGGCCAAAATAAGGAACTTTTACCACTTTTAGGTCAGGCTTTGCAGGTGAGACGTGAAAAAATCTATTTTTTTAGCCAAGAAACCCTATTTTTTGAACGTTTGATGACTTAAAAAAATTTTTGTTTTTTGTTTGATTTTCATTCCACTAAAAATCATCAAAAACGATTCTAGATCCATGTTCTCAAATCGGTGGCCGAGCGCAACTTCGAGGAGAGTCATTTTACAGAAATGGTGGACCGTGGCAAAACCGACACCTTCTTTTTCATGGTAATGGAGCTGGTTGGGAAATCTTTGGAGGATTTAATGGACACCAGACCAAAGGTTTGGCAGCACACCTAATCTTAAGACCAATTTCAGCCGGGGAATTTCTCGATCAGCACCGGTTTGCGGGCAGGGAGACAAATGCTGACTGGCCTACACCAACTCCATTCCTTGGGTTTTATTCATCGAGATTTGAAGCCGGCCAACTTTGCCGTTGGATTTGGAGCTAAACTGAGGAAGGTAGGTTGGGCTGGGAGCAACTTTTAAGACAAGGGTGATTGCTATATTACACTAGAGATCGATTTTTATTTTGGTCGAAAAAATACTTTTCGTCGTATAAAACGTCGTCTGTTTTTCAGATTTACATTCTGGATTTTGGGATCGCCCGTTCCGTGTTAACAGAGGCGAAAACGATGAAACGGCCGCGTTGTATGGTGGGCTTTAAGGGGACAGTTCGCTATGCACCGATTGCTTGTCACCAAAACCAAGATCAGGACTTCAAAGATGATGTGGAAAGTTGGGTAAGCGAGCAAGAGAAATTCTCAAGCTTTACAAACCTTTTTAATATAACATTTTGATAATTTTCAAAAGCAAAAATTTCGATTTTCTGCAAAACGCGATTTTCTGGAACTCCCGAATTCTGCAAAACGCGGTTATCTGAAACCCCCAAATTTTCAGCTCTACTCTCTCCTCGGCCTTTTTGTATAACATTTTGACGATTTTTAAAAGCATAAATTTCGGTTTTCTGCAAAACGCGATTTTATAAAACTCCCGAATTCTGCAAAACGCGATTTTCTCAAGTGCCCGAATTTTCAGCTCTACTCTCTCCTCGAAATCATCCATCCCCGTGGACTGCCATGGCAAAATTTATGCGACAAATTCACGGTTTTGATGTACAAGGAGCTCTGTCGGACGGAGAAAAAGGAAAGGGACGAGCTGTTTCCCCCAATCAAATGCCGAAATGTTTTGTGGAAAATGTTGGAAATTATCGACAACATGGAGTACAGGGTGCCGGTCGAATATGATATACTCTATAAACTACTTCAAGACGTAAGTTTTTTTGATTTAAAAATTTGCAAACTCAACATTTTTTTTTTTTTTTTTTTTTTTTTTTTTTTGAGATTTTTCAACAATGAACTCCTAAAATTTCAGTGTTACCGAATTCACGGTGTCAAAGAGAAGGATAAATACGATTGGGAGCCAGCAAGTCCTCCACGCGCTTGAAAAATCACGATTTTTCGTTTGAATTTTGCGAATAAATTCAAAATCTTGGCTAAAAATTCAATTTACTTCCAATACGATAATTTAAGGCAAGTTGAGGACGTTGGGAATTAGACCAAATTGAAGGACTTTGACTATACTTCTACTACTTTCTTTGGGTGATACGAAAAATCGCTAAAAAAAGACATTAATTTAGACTTATACCCGAAGTGATGGATAATGTAAAAAAAGTTGAAAAAAAGTGCAAAAACTGGGATGGATTTGATAACAACTCTCTGTGCTATTGTCTACATTAGTAATTAATTAGAAAACTATGGAATTTTAGTCATTTAGTCGGCCTTTTCGGAGCAACCGACCGACTTTTGAGTCCTCGGTGAGCAGTGATCTGATGGTGTAAATTTGAAGCAAAAAGGTGAACGCAATGGCTCCAGTGTGGATGGCTGACCAGAAGTTGACTCGCTCAAAGTTGTGTTCCATTATACTGCGGTCGCGAGATTCGACGGCACGCACTTGAGTTTGCAATTTCTCCACTTCGTTCATGTTGGACTTGACTTTCGTGGTGATTCTCTGGAAAAATTTGGATGAATATACTTTCCGGGAGACAAGCAAATAGCCTAGAGAGTTTTGTAAAACATAACAAAAAAAACTCACTTCAAATCCAGCGATACTGCTAGCCAGAGAATCGGCGGCAAAGGCATCAAAGTTTTGAAGGAAATTTCCGTCCTTGTCCAGTAAAAACATCTCGAAATATACCTAAAATTAATATGACATAATCAAATTTTACAGATTACTAGTCCATTCCGGAAAGTCGCCGGACTGAAATCGGAGGCACTGTGCGAAAACAAAAGTTTTCTTTGCACTGTGCAATTTCTTGCTTTTTGCACTGTGCAATAGATTTTTTTCTGCTGTCGCTTGCACCCTGACTTTTTATGCACTGTGCAAAGTCGCTGGAGTGATTTCTGCGACACGCACTGTGCGAAAACAAAAGTTTTCTTTGCACTGTGCAATTTCTTGCTTTTCGCACCGTGCAATAGGCTTTTTTGGGCTGTCGCTCGCACCCTGACTTTTTTCGCACAGTGCAAACGCCAAAAACCAGTCCGGCAACTTTCCGGAAGGACTAGGATCACGGAAACAAATGAAAAATTACCTTTTCAAAAAAAAAAAAAATTTTTTTTTGGAAATTTCGACTGATCTTCAAAAAAAATTTGTTTTTAAAACCCCTACCGTTTTGCTCGACGTTGAACTGAAGCTATTATCGAAACAAAAAGAATATTCGCCATGCCCATTTTTGGGGTCATCAATTTTCACTTGATGCTGTCCATTCATTTGTTTCACATCATTGGCGATAATCAATCCTCTCGGATTTTTGACCATAAATGTTACATCCATATCGCCTCCATCCGTCACTTGGAAGTCGGTCTCAATCGATACGTGCTTGGGATTCACGAGATTTTGATGGAAACAGTCGATTTTCCCGGGATCTATCCGAAACACCATAATTATTTCCTCTTTTGGCTCATCAAAGTTGACATTTTGACTGGAATTCACTAACCACACGGTAGAAAGGACAATCAATGATAGAAAAATCCTCAGTACCACCATTCCCCTCTAAAAATAAATTTAGAAACATCAAATTTATAAAACAGACGAATGCTCTCATGAGTAATATAAAAGCCTCTCAAAACAATAGAAAAAAAATATTACGGATAAAACCCTGTGTGTGAAATCGATAATCAAGCTTTATAGTTAATAATTTATTATAAATAAAAAGCCAAAATGCAATAAATACCCAATAAATTAGCTGTAATATTATACATCATGAAAATTCTGGAGACACGTCTAATGCTAGCTGATATGTAATGACCACAAGCTTTTGAACATCATCACTCTTTCTTTATGTAGTTTATACTCTAATCTTGAGGTTTCATCCACTTCGCCGCAGGGCTTTTCCAATTTTGGAGTTCTCTTCGAAAAGTGATCTGATGGTATACACCTGGATAAAAGCGACCAAAAACAGGACGACTGTGTTGATGACGGACCAGAAAGTCACTCGAGAGTGATTGGCATTCATGATCGCCTTGTCTCGATGTTCATAAGAGCGGAAAACGGATTGATAATATTCGACCTTGTTCAAGTTCCCCTTGATCTTGTTGGTGCTTTCCGCAAATGTCTCCAACGTCAAGCCAAGCTCTTGTACCTTCTTCTTGAAGGTCTCATCAGTGTGAGCAAACTGTCCGATATCAATGTCTTCCACATTTCCATGTTCATCCATCAAAAACACCTCGAAATAGACGACCTTCCGGCTCTGATAGCTGAACGTGTTGTCGAAACAGAACTGATAATCGCCTTCTTGTGCTACTGGGATTCTAAAAGTCGAAAAAATCAACAATGAACAGTCTAAACTTACTTATGAGTGGCATCCGTCTTTTTTTGATCTTGCGCAATAATATCTGCACCATAAATTACCATAAAATTGATGTCCAAATCTCCTCCGTCAATCACCTAGTCAGAAAATTAAATAAAAAAATTGCGGACTAACCTGATAATTAATTTCCATCGTTTTGTGCTTCGGATTGCTGACCGGCTGGAAGTAACACTCATATTTTCCGGGACGAATCTCGATCGTGTAGTCGAATTCGCTGGCCGAGGTGAAAGCGGACGTGGCAAGTGCAAGGACTACGAGTGGGAGCATTCTCGAGCCCCGGAACTGATAAGGCTGCATAATCTCTTCTTCAAATTTCGGTTTTTTTGACGATGTGGAAAATCTTTTTGGCATTCCGTTCGTTTTCGTGGTGGGGCGCAGAAAAACGTTGCATGTGTGTCAAGAATAATTCATTTCTGGAAGGCTCTTCATAAAATATGAAAATATAGACAGTCCCTGAATGTTTCATTTTGTTTTCATAAACTTTCGGGCTGTTCTACACGTTCATTTTTCCTGTTATATTGCTCTTGACCTTGGAGATTTATTTTGCCTTTTTTTGCAGTGAAGAAAAGCGTCAGCCCTTCATGAATTTATTGTGAAATTACTCTATCAGAGATAATTGTAACATTCGCTGAAAAGATTGAGCTGTTTTGAACTTTCCAGAAGCTGAAGAATCAATTTTTGCAAAGGCGAAGTGTCATTTTCTCTACTTTTTTTTGTTGGTCGGGATTCTGAAGGAAATCGCTCACGATTCGGGAAGTGAGGGGCTGAAACGTTTTGCCTGTGTTTCAAAAATTCTCTTTTGCTTGTAATCCGTTCATTTTACTATCCTTTTCTCGAGATTTTGATCTTTATCAGAGATTTTTGCGTTTTTGAATGAAAATGGGCCGTTTTTGCCGTTGGGTATTGATTGATATTTCAGAGAGGACCTTTAATTTTATGGGAGTGATGTGAAATTTATGGAAAAGGATTCATTTTTTATTCTTTCAGCCTTTTCGGTCTCGTTGATACCTAAAATAATGTCCAAATTGTTGATTTCCGCGTTAATTCTTATTGGAAATGGTTTGATCAAGACTAATCGAATGGTTGCAGGTTAGAACCTATGGATTTTCAAGAGATCTTGGCTCAAGCATCTCACAACGCTCAAAAATCCACCAAAGTAATTAGTCAAAGTGAAAAGGATCGACAAGAACGTCTCAAACGAGACAGGGAGTTATACGCCAAACGTCTAGAGCAAGAGCGCAACCAAAAGAAGCTCAAAGCTCCTCCGCCACCACCAAAACCACAGCCAAAACAGGTAGATTCGCTAGATTTGTATTTACTCTTCTTTAGTTTGTGATACCCAAAAAGAAACCGAGCGATAATGGTGTTACCTCTGATGGAATCAGTGCGTATTTGGAGAAGCAGCGAGCTGACAACTTGGAGAAGATCAAACAGCAAAAGAAGGAGAGGGATGAGCTGATCAAGAAGCGGTTGGAAGTCAATGGAGGAAGGGTAGGTTAGCTACTAATAAATTGAATTTATTGGTGTTTTTGATTTATTCTTCTGTCTTTAGGCTAACAAGAAGATTGCATCTCAGTTTGGGAAGAGCACCATCGAACTTCAAACCAAATATGCCCATAATTCGCATCGAGAATTGGAGTTGTTTCGAAGAGAGCAAAAGGAACAAGAAGCCATTGAAAAACAGGCCAGTAAATTGAAAGAGGGCATTGACAAGGCGATGGAACATCGTCAGAAGCTTCAAGCAAAGGCTGGTGGATCTACGAAAGTGACGGGAGCTCGAGTTGGAAATGTCAAAGCCGATGGTTTCGCGAGTTTATCTTCCAAGCATGAGTAAGAAAAATTTTTAGTTTTTCTTTTGATTTTTAGGTGCTTTGTATTCTTGATACCTTGGATTTAGGTCAGTGACGACGAAGCGAAAGTCCGAGGAGTTCAAGACCATGGGATCGAGCCAGCCGAAACGAAAACAGCCATCTTTTCCTTCAGGCGGAGGATCTTTGGACTTCCAGAAGCTGATGGAGCAAGCTCAGCAAAACAAGGATATTGAAAAGGCTGCAGCAAGAGCCAAGGCGATCCGAGAGAAACGCTATGATCTTCTGGAACAACTTGACGGGAAGTCTTCGAATCCAGGACCTTCTTCATTGAAATCTTCATCATCAAGAGATTCGATCCCCTCCAAAGTGCCTAGAATGGAGCCAAAGCCTTCGAACGGGTCGTTATCTTCCAAGGAAATGTTTAAGAAGCCCACGGTATCAGCGAAAGCCTCGTTGGCAGCAGCCAAAGCCTCTTCGTTAAAGTCTACGCCAAGCACATCTAAATCAATGTCCAATTCGACTTCAAAGCTCGCAAATCAGACAAAGTTGTCGACGGCGGCGATGTACGCTGCAGAGAAGAAGGAGCCAAGGATATTACCGGGTGATATTCGATATAAAGGACCGAGTAAAAGCGAAAAGAAAGAGGATGAAAGGCCGAAAATTGATCCGTATAAAGCTGCTTTATCGAAGTATGGAGGGAATGGAATTGTCAAGAATGATAAGTATGATCGGCTTCCGGCCAAAAGCAAGATCAATGAGAGGGATATTGAGGAGAGGAGGAGAGCTGCGGCAATGCTGGAGAGAGATAATAAACGGTGAGATTTTGAATTTTTTTTATGTTTTTTATATTAGTTTATGGTTAGTATACTTGTTTTTTGAATTGTATTTGATAGAATTTGCCTTGATTTTGATAACAACTGCTTTTTATCTGACGAATTTTGAGATTTCACAGCGTTTTTGATTTTTTTTATATTACACTAGTCCATTTGATGGATAATATCGATTTTCTCTCAATTACTGTTGAATTTCAGGTCTGAGCGAGATAGGTATGAAAAAAGAGAGAAGGAACGGTATGATAGAGACCGGTACGACCGCGGCGCCGACCGTTATCGAAGCCGATATGATGATAAACCACTGAGAAGAGATTACAGTGAGGATGAAATGGACTATGAAGAAGAGGAATACGACTCGGATCTGGATGGATTTATTGACGATTCGGAGTTGGATGACCTGGAACGAGCCGATTTTGAGGAGTCCTTGAGGTGGGATCTTGATTTAGATTTTGGGTATCAAGGTTAATATTCAAATTAAAAAAAATGTGAAAACGGCTTTGGGTTTTGGATTTTTGAAGCCTTGAAGGTGATTTTGAGGTCAAAATGAATTGTAGATGGGAAATCTGGAGAGTTTTGAAGACGATTTTGGTTATAAACTTGTTATTTTCAGACTGATCAACCCCCGGTACAACAAGAAACTGTGGAAAGCCCGCGAAAGAATGATCGACGAACGCCGCATGCAAGCCAATTTCCGCGATCTCGAAGCCGAGGAACGCCGCAGCAGCAAACTCGCGATGATGGAGGATATAATCGAAGCCGAACGAGGCAGCCGAGGCCTGTGATATGAAGAAGAAAATAAACATATCCGAAGAGTATTCTATACAAACAATTTTAAAATATTTATAAATTTTTAATATAAATGAATATTACGGTAGAAGTAGAAAGGTTGCTTGGGAGATTTTTTTGGTTTTTTGCCGTTGATTTTTTGAGATTTTTTGGATGATTTGTCAATTCCATCGAAGGGAGTCGCAAGAACTGCTCAAACTTGAAGCACTGACCACACTGTTGTTCCCGGAGCTTTCGAATTCTCTTTCCTCCAAGAATTCGGATAAAAAATTGACTCCAGCGCAGGCCAACGACATTGTTTTAGCTATTTGGTGACCTGAAATTCAAAAAATCTAAATTTTTTGGAACCTAAGCATGGAAAAATACAAGATGATCAAGATGGTTAGTAACAAAAAAAATAAAAAAAAATTTGGGGTATCCGCGAAGAAACAGTCAAAAAATTATTTTTTTTTAATAACCAAGTCCCCTACTCTCTCAAAAAAAAAAAACGATTGTGGACTGTCTCGGCAGTGAGTGGCAAAGATGGGCCATTTTGCACTTCAAGCCGCTTATAAACGCAACAGTTTTTCAACGATTTCCTTATCAGATGTCATCATGCCCATTTACGGTCATTCTCCGTGCTGTCTCCGAAGTTCATTTGAATTGTTGCGACAGGACGAGTTTTATGAGTTTACAATGCCTGTTATTATCCTTTAACGGTTTATCGACTTTTGCTCCATGCAAAAGTCTGATCAAAATTTGTTTTGATCTATTCTAGCCGACAAAGAAAGAAGTCGAGGCAATTTTCTGGCCAATAATAAAAATTATTGTGTAATTTCATTATCCGAAATATAACAGGGGGTATTGAGCTCACAATCAAGGGTAAATTTTGGATTCAAAAAATTATTATTTGGGTATCAGAAATGCTTCGAACTTGAATTTAAATTTTGGGTTTTATAGCCCCGAGGAAGCCGACATTTGCGGGTGGAAAATTTCACGGCCATATGTGAACTACCAAGGCAAAAACTGAAATCATGGTGTTGCTCAAACTATATGTTTTAAAACACGATTTTTCTAACACTCGAGCGCACCTTTATTGGCTGGCTACACGAAAATTCAAACTGCATCAAATCCGGCGAAACTTTGAAATCTATGCCTATGAACAGTTCTAAGAAACTTTCCCGTTAACTTTTTTTGATTACTTACCGTAGTCCGGGTTACTGTAACTTGACCTCAAAATTTATATCTCGATAACCAGACGTCGTAGAAGGATGGGACCTTCACCATTATGTTCCTCATGCAAAATAACATGTTTTTGGTTGTTACACCCGGATATGAAAATTATCAGAAGGGTTTCAAAAATTTGAATATTCATGCGCTGAACTAAAATTCTTCAGTTTTCTCGAAAACTGGTTATTATTTTAGCGCTTTTTTATTACATATTCTGAAAGAAGAGCTTTTTCTGAATCGAATGCATATAAGGACTGCTCTCAAAGCCGGAGAATTTGGGGGTAACCGACCGCCGGAAGTTGGCGCACTCCGTTCGAGATCTAACAAAACGGTCTAAAATCACAACAAATTGGACAATTTTTGAATTTCTTTTTTTATCCAGTTAACTCGGGAGCTTTTTTAGTCCTCATAGACAAAAAGTCATCAACAAATTTACGTTGAAAACCCCATTCTAAAAAAATTTGCATATTTTCGCGCAGTTCTTAAAATTTGTAAATATCTCAAATATTTCCAATGTTATACCCATTATTATCATTGTACAATACATTAGGCAATGTGAGGATCCAATTTGAACTTTACGTGTCGCAATTTCAACACCATGTTCTGCGCAGGAAAGCGTTAACGACCTGAACACGTAGTGAAAACTGTTATCTCTTGTTTTCTCGTCAAATTATGCTAATTTTAGCGCTTTTTTATTGCATTTTCTAAAAGTACAGTGTATCCTGATTCGAATGCGCTCAAGTATGTTACAAATCGATGGAGATTTGAGCGAAAACGAAGCTGCTAGAGTTCTTAAATTTATGACCCCATAATCAGCAATAAAAAAGATATAGTACGCGATTATTACATACGGATTATATCAGTGACGATGATATGTTTTGTCCAGTCGTTTTCTAAAATTTCGTCTATAATTTCCTCAAAGCAAGTCGGAAAGATTGGCTCATAATTCTACAGAAATTTGGCTCGCGTAGACATCTTCTGTGTCTTCCTGAATGTCTCTACGGAACCTAGGGGACGGCTCACTAGCCTTAGGCTCTTGTGCAGGCCACTGTTTATCAAACTTCGAAAAATAATAAGCGATTTGCTGCCAATTGAGAAACTGAGGTCATAAGAACTTTGGCAGCTCCGTTTTCGCTCAAATCTCCATCGATTTGTAACATACTTGAACGCATTCGAATCAGGATACACTGTACTTTTAGAAAATGCAATAAAAAAGCGCTAAAATTAGCATAATTTGACGAGAAAACAAGAGATAACAGTTTTCACTACGTGTTCAGGTCGATAACGCTTTCCTGCGCAGAACATGGTGTTGAAATTGCGACACGTATAGTTCAAATTGGATCCTCACATTGCCTAATGTATTGTACAATGATAATAATGGGTATAACATTGGAAATATTTGAGATATTTACAAATTTTAAGAACTGCGCGAAAATATGCAAATTTTTTTAGAATGGGGTTTTCAACGTAAATTTGTTGATGACTTTTTGTCTATGAGGACTAAAAAAGCTCCCGAGTTAACTGGATAAAAAAAGAAATTCAAAAATTGTCCAATTTGTTGTGATTTTAGACCGTTTTGTTAGATCTCGAACGGAGTGCGCCAACTTCCGGCGGTCGGTTACCCCCAAATTCTCCGGCTTTGAGAGCAGTCCTTATATGCATTCGATTCAGAAAAAGCTCTTCTTTCAGAATATGCAATAAAAAAGCGCTAAAATAATAACCAGTTTTCGAGAAAACTGAAGAATTTTAGTTCAGCGCATGAATATTCAAATTTTTGAAACCCTTCTGATAATTTTCATATCCGGGTGTAACAACCAAAAACATGTTATTTTGCATGAGGAACATAATGGTGAAGGTCCCATCCTTCTACGACGTCTGGTTATCGAGATATAAATTTTGAGGTCAAGTTACAGTAACCCGGACTACGGTAAGTAATCAAAAAAAGTTAACGGGAAAGTTTCTTAGAACTGTTCATAGGCACAGATTTCAAAGTTTCGCCGGATTTGATGCAGTTTGAATTTTCGTGTAGCCAGGGCTCTCGACTCATAGAAAAATCGTGTTTTAATTTGTCAAAACTTTTATATCAAAACCGGACAGTCTAGACCCGGGATGACGTTTCGCAAGTTTAACATTGTTTTTCTTTGGCCATTTTATGTCATTTTCTGATATGACGATTTCCCCGAAACTAGGGGGATCTGAGAACCTATAAAGATATAACCAATGTGATTTATATCTGGCGGCAAGGTCGGTATGCCGATGATTTGTTACGCCTACTTGGCAAAAAAATTTTCTAAGTTTCAACGGTTTCGGCCCGAAAATAATTCTTCAAGACTTTGGGAAGACATAGAAAGGTCAATTCAACATTTTGCTTGAAATTCAGTCGGTTGAAAATAGCGGGTCTCAGCTCCAGAAAAATTTGTTTTTGCTAAGTAGGCGTAAAAATTCATCGGCATACCAACCTTGCCGCCAGATATAAATCACCTTGGTTATATCTATCTTTCTACATATACCAATAAGTAGATGCTGAGTAAAGCTTCAAATTATCATAAATTGGGTGGCCTATACCTTCTAGATTCTTCAAATTGCACACAACAAATCCAGAGCCCATTTTCATTGAAGCGCACTTTTTTCATATCAAAAAGTAATTCCTTTCTTTATGTAATAATATTTATTTATTAGTATTTACATTTTTTCCATGCTACTTGAGCTTTCTTCTAAGTTTGGCGCCGAACGAGACTTTTCTTCGATTCGTCGTGTCGCTGAGATCATTCGAGGGTAATACTTGACCCAGACTGCCAAGATTGCGCCAACAGTGACAATATTAAATTGCCATAGGTAAATTGGCCCAGTGGCTTCGTAAACTGCGCTGAAAATCTCTTTATTATTTCCATACTTTTTTCTGTTACAAAAAAAATATTATGATTTTTCGACAGCACTTACGTTAATATTATGGGCCCAACAATATTAACAAACTCTCCGCAGACCAGAAACACTCCTTGCATGGTGCCTTGTTTGATATTGCCGAGAACCTTGGAGTACAAAATGTCAAGATTTAGCATCATCAACGGGATCCCGATGCTCATGCAGAGCACCATGGTGATGAAATAAAGCCATCCGTTGACGGCCGGAGTGGTGGCGCACCATTCGAATCGCTGTGAACATCCGCCTTTAACTAATGTATTGTTCTCGTAAACTTCATAAGGGATGGTGGAGGAGTAGAAGGGATAAGGATAAGTGATCACATAGTACAATAACACCAATCCCATGGCGAGCACAATGGCGCGCCGGTCGGAGAGATAACGTTGAGCAATGTGTGTCATGTAGAGAGCGCTGAAATAGAGGTGCGCTTAGAAACCTCCACAAAGATAAGTGATATATGTATATATTTAAAAAACGATCATGTTTTTCACAGTGTATTTTTGATGCCTTCGTATACTCAGTCAGTACGCTTACCCAATTAAAAGCCCAACAACGCCAATCATCGTAAAAAGAAAGGCATTGGCGACGACCAGCTGCTGACTGTCCCAACCAAACGCTGTCATCATATACGGTCCTCCCACGTTGATCAGAAACAACAGACTACTCGATTGCACCATCCGTGTTAGACAACAAAGGAAGACCGCGAATTTGTCGTACGAGGTCTCAAAGTTGAGGGAGAAGCGACTTCTGTTCCTCGGGAGTGTTGGCTCCACCAGATTGTGATGATGCGGGTGTAAATGCAATCTTCCATTGTAGCAACAGACAAGGAAGACCAACGAGATCATTGTGATGACCAGAAAAATTGCCGGGGGAATTGTGAACACGTTCAAGTGCAAACCGGAGATGTATTCCAGGCCGGGATATGCAACGAGGGCGGCGAGGATGGTGAGAACTGAAATGGAGTTAAATAATATAAGAAATAAAAGAAAAGGTCGCCTAATATCGCCTAATAATAGGATGATAGGACAAACTATCGCCTCATATCATATATGATAGTAAAGCTTACTCGGCCCAACTCCCATTCCAGTCGAACAGGCCAACGAATAAATACTCATCGCTTTCGGCCGGTCGTGCTCAGTGGATGCCATGGCTATGTGTGTGCGTGACACGCTGGTTAGCCCTAAAAAACGTTGAGTAGAAGCTATGAATCTTACAGCACAAAGACAGTCGAAAAAGAACCCACCAACAGCAAGACCAAAACAGATGTTCATTGTCATGAACAGGGGTTTATCAAATTGCGGGACCAGTTCCACGGAAAGATAGGAAATCACACTGCATATGTAGAAAATAACACCTAAAACGGTGCAGATTCTGGAAGAGAAAAGTTATATAAACTTAGGATTGACTCACTTTGTGTCATTCAGTTTATTGCACAACACTCCGGCAAGAAATGAGACCGAGAGGTTGAAGAAATTTTCAAGCGAACTCATGGCCCCGAGGAACGACTCTTCCATTGATGGGTTTATCTGAAAAGAGGACTTGAGCAGCTGCAAGATAGACTTGGAATTTTAATTTCACATTAAAAATTGCCTGCAAATTGCCTGTTGCAGAAACTGAAAATTATTATAGATAAAGTCGGGCCCAAATTTTTTTTAAATGTCGAAAGCGCGATTAATCTATGCCAATTTTAAATTCCTGAAAATTTTAGCTTTTCCTTTGCAAGCGAGGCCAATATTTATAACAAAATTCAAGCCAAAAATTACGGTTAATTTTACGGTCAAGTATTTTTTGCTATACCGTGTTTACTTTCTCATAACTTTGCTTTTTCATTGCCATGAGCTCAGAATGACTTCACATCAAAACTCCTTGGTGTTTTGCCACATAAAATCTGTTAAATTTATGCCAAAATCATAACCTTTCCATCACCTACTTACCAGCTTCATGTATGGCCACAAAGCCGAGCCCATGGCCGACACCCGGAAGGTCATCAAGAACCCCGTCGAGGCCAGGATGTAGATCGATCGCCAGTCCGTCTCCATTGTTGCATAAGCTGGAACAAGGACCAATTCACTGGGATACTCATCAACATAGTCCATAGCAGGCAATAACGCGAAAATAAAGTGCAGCGAACAACAAGATCATTGAAATTTATTTGGAAAGCACTTTGTAAAAACGATAAAAGACTTTGCTGGAAAAACTGATCGACTATTCTGTTATTTTGTAAGAACGTATAAGGGTATGAGGTTATCGGGTTGCAAATATTTACGCTTTTCGAATTTTTTATCTAATGACACAAAGTGCAGGTCACAAACGCAGAAATAAAAAGAGAGAAAAAGAGTTGTGACTGAGGGTACCCTCTGGTAATAGATCATTTTTTAGAAGTTGCAAAAAAACTTGAGAGATACTTTAGTGGTTTTTAAAGAGTTCAGAAAGTTTTGTTTCTTTGGCGGTGCACCGCGATGTCAAAGGCTGTGTCTACAAATGAAGTGCAACGCTCAAACTTTTTGGAGTTTTGCATGCAAATTTTGTATACTTGTTGAGCGGCATACGATTTTTTGAAAATCCTGGAACGCTTGCAGCCAAGATACTCAACAATGTTTGCTCACGAGAGAGTACGCGAAATAAAGAGAATCGACAGAGAGGAAGCCGGAGAACTTCAAGAAACCGAAAATATTTTTTTGTGAATGCAAAAGGTGACAACTGACAGCAAATAAGCCACAAATCTTATTGCAAAATTTGCACTAACACCGTTACAATAAAAATATTGTAAGGCGCTATCAGTAGAAATAAATATAAAGTTTCAATAGGAGTACACCGCACCTAAAAACTTCAAAACGACCGCAAAACCTTTTTCATTGTTCTACTGGGGCTTAATTAAAACCGTCGAAACAAAGGCGTATGAATTGAATACAATCAACACAGGTGCCCTTACAGAACGATTGGCGATAAGCAGCCAAAATAACAATCGTCTCATATGATCAGCGGAAAACGGAAGCCAGATGCGATTAAAATTAATATCAGTAAAATTTTTTTGATATTTTAGGAACTAATTTTTCTAATGCGAAGAAACGTCAATAAATAAAAAGTTTTTAGCTGAACTTTGAAACATAAAAAATAAATTAATGGGGGAATCAAACGAACGTTTTGTACGATCTCTAATCAACAAACAATAGAGAAAATGCGGAAAATGTGGCAGTCAGAAGAATCAAAGAACCGTGCACAGCTATATAAATTGAAACCCATTTTTTATAAAACATGGTAAAAATTTAGATTTCATTTTTTTTAATACATATGAGAGATTTTTAGGTTGTAGAAACAAGACGGATTTCTAGTCCAAAAGCCGGTGAAAATCCGGCAAAAGTTTGCCCCGAAAACTTGGCCTTCCTTCCAGAGATGGAAATTTCTCTTCAACAATATTGCAACGCCACTTTAATTAAAATATGGGTGTAATTGAGGATACATCTCCATTCAGTTTTTGCTTTTTTTGAGTCCAATTTCCCACTAAATTATCTTTTATTTGCCATGGGAGCAGTATGGGTACACAAGAGTTCAAACACTCTTCTTTTGAACAAAATAGATTTTTTTGTGTAACCAACGGGTCCTACAGAAGCTTGGTCGCAACGATTTCTACAAAACTACTGGGTGGTTTTTATGATATATGACTGCTATTCAAAGCGACGGCAATACATACATATATAAATAAAATGGAACACAACGTTTTTATGCGAATACTATCACAGCATTCCGAACTTTTTTCGCCACCGATCGGTGTCGAAAAAAAATCGAAAAATCGAGAGAGGGGTATGCATTTTTTTGTGTTGCCGGCTAGCAAAGGCAGGTATTGCAAAATTAGAAAAAGTGTTTGATACTCTGAAGATTACTCATTTTAATTATACAAAAATTGTCACCATGCACTTTGTAACCCCCGAGAAAATCGCATTCGAAAAAATGAAAATTTCAAATTTAAATGCAATGAAAATGCACTTTCTAGTTGACTACTGAAGAAAAAAAAGATGCTATCGTGTAGAGAATTTCGAGTACTTCCTAATACGTATATTTTTTTGCGTTGTTTTCTAACAGTTTTAGAGCTACCGTGCAAAAACGCCTTTTTTTGCACTTTTTCCGACTTATCTGCACTTCAAATGCAAAAATGCAAAATCTTCCGAGCAATTATCATTCTGGGCATCCTTGTGGATATACATGCCAAATTTCGAATTTCTGCGATGCTTCTGTCTGCTGATATATCGAAATCATTACGAAACCTTGACAACTTATTAGCGCGCCTTGAAATATAAATTTTGTGACATTTTCGATAAAAAGTCGTTATATGTACTCTATTTGTGAGTTTGAAAGTATTAGCTTGCGTTTGGACTGCAATAACTGGAATAAAAAAAGCTGCACTTGTGTATGAAATCAACATTTTTCATGATGACATGAAGCTGTCTCATAAACTGTACGAATAACATTCGGGGTTGGAAAAATACATTTTAGGAAGAAATAAGGCTATCCTACAGTAAAAACAGTAAGCTTTCTATGTTTTTCTTCGGAAACTTAAGTTGTCAAGGTTTCGTAATGATTTCGATATATCAGCAGACAGAAGCATCGCAGAAATTCGAAATTTGGCATGTATATCCACTAGGATGCCCAGAATGATAATTGCTCGGAAGATTTTGCATTTTTGCATTTGAAGTGCAGATAAGTCGGAAAAAGTGCAAAAAAAGGCGTTTTTGCACGGTAGCTCTAAAACTGTTAGAAAACAACGCAAAAAAATATACGTATTAGGAAGTACTCGAAATTCTCTACACGATAGCATCTTTTTTTTCTTCAGTAGTCAACTAGAAAGTGCATTTTCATTGCATTTAAATTTGAAATTTTCATTTTTTCGAATGCGATTTTCTCGGGGGTTACAAAGTGCATGGTGACAATTTTTGTATAATTAAAATGAGTAATCTTCAGAGTATCAAACACTTTTTCTAATTTTGCAATACCTGCCTTTGCTAGCCGGCAACACAAAAAAATGCATACCCCTCTCTCGATTTTTCGATTTTTTTTCGACACCGATCGGTGGCGAAAAAAGTTCGGAATGCTGTGCTATGAACATTGCAAGAAAATTCCCGTTATTCAGAAAACTGAAAGAATAAATAATGACTTTTATCTTATGTCAATGAATCGAAAGACACTTTGGAAAACGGAGAAAAATACATAGTAACTGGACTGGCACCGATAAGCAATGGAAGCGGGCTTGACTCGCAGGAAAAGGGCTACGATAGCCGAGTAAAATTGCCTTTTCTTACAAAACCTAGACATTCGCTGAATTCAACGTGATGATATCAATCTGTCGGGAAAATAATGGGCACAATGTATCATCAAAAGTTGCATCGCCATCGATAAAATGAATTGTGTCGTGACAAAACAAGTTGCTTTTTGACTTCAGCGGCGCGACCGGTGCAGCGGCAGAATGCTCGTTATTTTCCCGACAGACTGATAGCCGTCCGGAAAATAGTCGGGCTGATTTTTGGCGCTTGCGTAGTGCGAGAAAAATCAGGGTGCTTGCGACAGACAAAAAAAGAAATTAGCACGGTGCGAAAGGCCTGAAATTGCACAGTGCAAAGTGAACTTTGGCTTTGTCTTTCCGGAAAGTCGCCGGACTGAAATCGGCACACGCACTGTGCGAAAACAAAAGTTTTCTTTGCACTGTGCAATTTTTTGGGTTTGCACCGTGCAATAGGCTTTTTTCGGCTGTCGCTCGCACCCTGACTTTTTTCGCACGGTGCAAACACCAAAAATCAGTCCACCGACTTTCGGGAAGTACTAGTAAGGCAAATCACAGTAAAAATCTGTTACTGACCAACGATATTCTGTGGTATCTAATAGAATATCGTATGGCTTTTATACTTTCACTGTAAGTGAATAAAAACCTAAAGATGCTAAGCCAGGATTAAATCTGAATCAGTGGTTGAAAACAAGACCTTCGCAAACATTCTGGATAAAGCGATGTGACAAACTTGGTCGCGATCAGGTCTATTGTGCGAAGAGAGGGCGGAATCGGAAGCTGTTGACCACAAAATCCAACTCACGACAGAGTCTGTTTTGTGACTTATGAATCACCAAGGAGAGATGAAAGAAATCGAAAAGATGGGGTGTTTCTTTATGTCTGCCATTGTATCACGCATACGTCATAAACTTTGATAATATCCCCCTCAGCGAAGGAGCGGAAATTCAACGAACTCCACAACAAATATAGCGCGCAAAAATATCTGTCACCTTTAACAATCAGCCTCTCGCTGATCGGAAACCCCGTAAAAAGATTTACCCAGCTGCGCAAAGTCTCGAATAGAGAAAAAATTGTGTTATTAAAACTTTTGAACCCATATAGACTGTGTTTATTTTTGAAAACAAAAAACATAACCCGCTATGCGAATTACTCACCTCGTTACCGATCGTTATGGAGCTCAAAGTTCCCTCGCTTGATAATACAATCTCTGCGTTACTTAATTTCTGTGAATTCGTTTTTTCATCTCTACGCTGTTCACAGATCACGTGAAATCCTTTGAATTTACTATATTTAGCGCAGCGCAGAGAATCTGTTTGAACTTTGGCTAATTGTAAGCAAAAAAACCCGCGCTTCTTCCGGAAAGTCGCCGGACTGAAATCGGCGACACGCATCGTGAGAAAATATTACAAAAGTTTTCTTTGAAATGTGAAATTTCTTGTTTTTTGGAAATTCTGAAAAGGGCTGGGCAAAACTTTTTTGTAACCGGGACAAGGCCAATGGATTTCCCGGGCCCCTTGTCTGATTGTGAGAGAAAAATTTTTGAGTCAGAACGAAGAAATCATGGGGCCGGCAAAACGCGCCAAAGCCGCATTCTGCGAATTATCAGGGCCTTTTGCCTTTCCGGAAAGTCGCCGGGCTGAACGGAGAAAAATACATAGTAACTGGACGGGCACCGATAAGCAATGGAGGTTTTGAGGGCTTGACTCGCAGGAAAAGGGCTACGATAGCGAGTAAAATTGCCGCTTGGTTTACAAAATCGAGACATTCACTGAAATCGGCGACCTGCACTGTGCGAAAACAGAAGTTTTCTTTGCACTGTGAAATTCTTGCTTTTTGCACCGTGCAATAGGCTTTTTTCGGCTCTCGCTTACCCCCTGACTTTTTCGCACATTGAAAGCGCAAAAAACCAGTCTAGCGATCTTCGGCTAGTATGCCTTCCTTTAATTTGAACTCAAGCTCAACTAATTGTACAAAAATTTAGGAAGCAATTTGGCTCTGTTTTGTAGAACTATAAAAGTTGTTGTTTTGATAAAATTAAATTTTCATTCTTTATCAGGTAGCCGGAAGGTGCATTAACTGACCAGCGATAAGAACAGATTGGGTTCACATTCTTAAATTGAGATAAGCGACCAATCGCTAAAACATAAATTATGTAAAAAAAATTGTTTTGCAATTTTAAAGGGTCTTTCGTACAGTTACTTTCAAATCGCGTTCTTTGCGGTGAAGGAAGCGAAATGTCAAAAAAAATTCTTTTTTCTTGCGGCGCAAACAAAATGGGGAAAATTTTCTAGCAGTAAGATAATTATTTATTAGTAGGCATATAGAAGAATGTCCCCATATTTTTTTCTCGGCGTCAGAGATACGATAGGTAAAGAAAATTCGATACTAATACCATCGTAAAGTAGTCAAACTGGCCCTTCAACCACAATGTTCAGCGTGAAAAATAAAAGGGAAATGTATCTCTCTGCCGGGATGATAATGGACACAATGTTACATCAAAAAATCGCATCGTCGCCGAGAAAACGAATTATGTCGCGGTAAAACCAAATTGCTTTTCACGGCGTCGCGACACTTGCGGGCAACCACTTTGCGGGCAACCAGTTTGCGGGCAAATTTTTTGCGGGCAACCGGACATTTGCGGGCAACCGACACTTGCGGGCAGCCGACATTTGCGGGCAACCAGCACCTGAGGGTAACGGGGTGGAGGTGGAAATATTACTGCGATATTTTGGAAATTTGCCGACATTTGCGGGCAACCGACACTTGCGGGCAGCCGACATTTGCGGGCAACAGGAAAAAACAATCACACAGACTGTGTAGGAACTTTTGGAACTGTTGCCCGCAAATGTCGGTTTCCCGCAAGTATTGCCTGCCCGCAAATGTCGGAAAACTTCCAAAATATCGAAGTAATTTTTCCACCTCCACCTTGTTATCCTCAAGTGCCGGTTGCCCGCAAATGTCGGCTGCCCGCAAATGTCGGCAAATTTCCAAAATATCATAGTAATTTTTCCACGTCCACCCTGTTACCCTCACAATCAGGTGTCGGTTGCCCGCAAATGTCGGCTGCCCGCAAATCTTCCAGGCTGCCCGCAACTGTCGACCCTGCCCGCAAATGCCGGTGCTGGCCGCAAATGTCGGCTGCCCGCAAAGTGGCTGCCCGCAAAAAATTTGCCCGCAAACTGGTTGCCCGCAAAGTGGTTGCCCGCAAGTGTGCGCCCGCCGCTTTTCACTTCAGCGACGTGACCAGCAAAGCAAATGTGAGCTAATTATTTTTTCGACAGTCTGTTAGATGTTGATTTTCGATTCATTACAATAGTAATCTCCATTTTCATCCTTGACAGCTGTGTTTCATCTTGCAACATCAACTCACTCCCATTTTAATACAATTTTGTACTATAAACCTTTATTTGTATCATCCAAGGTATAGCATTTATGCAGCATGCACCTTAAATACCGTGGAGACGGCTGCCTTAGTCGTAGCCAAGCAATTTTCGGGTACCAAAGGCCACAGTTTGTTCTCAAGTTCAATCTTCTTTTGCAAAGTAACCAACTCAAAGGTCTTCTGGCAAACGGCGGTTTCCACATCTTCTACCGGAGCGTTGGATGCGCGTTGCTGCTTGATCAGGCTGTCAACCTACAAACTCTAACATGATATAAATGAATTGACTAAAGATAGACGATGAATGTCAAATTTTACCTGGGCTTGATCAGCTTTGACAAAATCCAAAGCGGTCTCTTGAACTTGATTGTGAAGCTTGGTAAACGCGTCGGGGCCTCCAACGCATTGGGTGATATTGTTGATGACATTGGTGATCTGCAAAGGTGTTAATAATGGAACGGATGAATAGGGCGAACATCAATTTGGTTGTTTTAATAACCCCTACCTGATCAATTTGGTCCGAGCTCAAGCTGTCCAGGTTGTTGTAGTTTTTGTAGTAGTAATCGGCAATCTCTTTCAAGGTCTTATTTTGATTGTAGTACTGGTCAAATGTTTGTTGCATCAACTGGAAATAAAGATACAAACAGGCAAAATTTTGATGACTTTTTCTCAACCTACGTCTTTCAGAGTCGCTGCGCTCAAAAAATCCCCATTGATGGCAATCAACTTCTCGGCCAGTTTGTCTCCGCATTCATTGCCGTAGGCGACGACGGCCAAACAAGCCAAAGCAGCGATCAGTTTCATTGTTGAGCCCGGGGACGTTGTAAATCTGTAATCGGGCCTTTGCAAATCGCTTTATATAGATCGCCGTAACTATACCGCGAACTCGTTTGAGACCGGATAATCCCGGCGCTCGAAAGCATTGTTAAAATGTTTATGATAGTCTGCGCTTGATTCGCTTCGACGAACGGCGCTTATCGCTTGTAATTGCCATGTGTGTTCTTGATATGAACCAAATCTGCACGACCGGAGCGGTCAATTGGATTAACTGGGGGTCTGAGTTTTGTAGCGGTCTTGAAATGTCTCATAACCCATCGGCTTTATCAAGCTCCGGTAATATTATCACTTTACTCAAGATATTCTATATTTACAGGCAATATAACTCTATTCTTATTTCAAAAAATTAAGGTTCCCTGTTGAGCTTGACCAGACGGTTGAGTATAATGTGAATTGCTATCCTGCGGCTGATTTCCTTGATAAAACTGGGGCTTTAATGGATACGCATGTGGAGGAGGTTGAACGTATGGTTTGGTGGCTTCAATGTTGTCATCGTTTATATGTTTTTCCTTTTCATTTGAGCCCTTTTCCTCCTCTCCTTCCTTGCTCTCTTTACTTTCTTCAGATCCAGAAAGAATACTTGGTGATAAAACCTATAAAATTAAGCATTACTAATGAATCAATCGACTTTAGTTCGTACCTCGACCATGAGTTTCTCGCTGCTCAAAATATGCGGCGAAAGCACGGATGGGCTGAGTACGATAACTCCCAACGCCTCCGGTGATAATATCTTTGGCGCGAGAGCATCTGAAATCAAGACGAATCAGTTAAAAGTACATTTTGTCAAATATATAAAGCCATTCCAGCCATTAGCTTACTTGGACTCAAAATTTGAATAATCAACGCTTCAGGAGAGAGGACTCGGACTTCCAGCGCTTTTGGCGAAAGAACCTCGGCGATAAGAGCTTCCGGAGTCAACACCCACGCATGAAGGGCTCGAGGTGAAAGGATCTCGGCTCTGAATGCGGCTGGCGACAGTACTCTTGCCATCAGCGCGCTTGGCGATAGAATTGACGGTATGAAGGCTCGAGGTGAGAGCACTTGAAACTGAAGTGGATAAGGTAAAATACGATTTTAGATGTACCGATCATTTGTGACAAAAATGTAGGGGAATGAAGGCCCTATTTGCTTCAGATGAGACTTACATTCAGAGCTTCTGGTTGCAGGATTTCCGACCAAAATGCAAAAGGTGATAACGTCAGGCCCTCCAATACAACACCTTTATTGACTTTTGCGCCAAACGCAAAAGGTTTTAGAGTCTCAAATTTTGGCAACTCCTCATCCTCTTCTTCCTCCGATTCTTTACTTTCTTTCTCATGATGTGACTCTGACTTTGAATGTTCCTTTAAACTTTCTTCAGAAGTTGATGACTTTGAGCCATGCGACTGATGTTCATCATGAAGTTTGACGTGATCTCCGGTATTTACCGGCCTAATTGGCGTCGCTCTTTGAATATATTGTTTCGGCGGAGTTGTGGAATTGAAAAGCGCCGCTGTTGAAAATTGAAAACCTGTGCAGTCTGAAAATTACAGTATGAAATTCCCGCTTACGTCATGTTTTTTTCGCTAGAAAATATTATTTGTTTTGAAAGGGGAAACGTATTACTGGCTCCCGCTGGACAAAAGGTCAGCCTGTCTGGAACAACATTTTCGGGAAGTAAAGACGTTCTTTGCTGTGTACTTTCCGAATCTAACACCGGAACCGGGTCATCTCTATTGAAATGTAAACGGCACGTATGTGGCTTCGCGGACAAAAACAACATCATTCTTTAATGAACAGCTTCTCAAGAGAAATTTTTGCTCAAAGTAAAGCTTTGCACAACAAACCGTTTGTATAAAAAATAAATTTTTAGGTTCCTTGCGGTTCGCCGCCCAGGGCGTTTACCGTTTTATTGAAGTTGAAATTGACGTCAATCCAGTGCAGTTGAGGCTATTTCCTGACCAAGATTTAATCGATCCGGCGTTGCGTTAGATATTAAATTTTGGTGACTAACCCTTGGCTGCTTTTCTCTAGGCTACCCCCGGACAAATCCACGCTCTTTTGCCAAAAAAGATGTTTTATAGTTTCCTTGAAGTTTTGAGGCCAATTTAGTCCCTTAAATTCTTTTCCGACAGAATTTTATATCTACATAAAACCTCTTCGTCAATCGATAGTGTATGAACAAAACTTCTAAACCTGTCAGGAAATGCTCTAAATTGACGTGTAATCCCTCTTAAACTCATGGTACCACCATCCTCAAACCACTTTATTTTCTCCTAAGCGCCATTCGTTACAACCCTCCCAAAATATCCCTTTATCCTTCCTCACAATTATCGTATTATGTTTGTCATCAAAATTCCTAGTTTTTTAGTTCCTGGATATCATCATTGCCGGCTTTAGACGAGCTCAAAAGCCCGACTAAATCCGAAGATACACTAATTTAGGATATTGATTCAAAGCAACTTTAGTATCTTCACGCTTAAGCCGTTTTAAGCCTTTGTTTTTCACGGCCTTCTTCTAGAAACATCACACATCTACGCCGACTAATCCGTGATTAGTTGACAAGTTTAGAGTTCGTTCGAAAGGAAAATTGGAACGGCTGTTTAGGACAAAATTGTATTTGGGGGATAAAAATAGACGACCAGGTGATTGTGGACGTAAATATTTGAAAGCAAAAAAGGTGTTTTTGCAGAAATTGAATTGCTGATTTTGCGGAATAAGTTTCTTTTTTATTCATTGTCAAGTAGCTTACCATTAGCCTCGTTGCAAAAAAAAAAATAATAAGCACTTTTTTCAAAATTTTTTGATTTTCTGTATGATGATGACAAAATTTGTTAAGTTCTTGTGACATATTTGGTATCAAAAAAGCAAGAGACTCTGAGAATTCAGAGAAAAAAGAAATTTTAGCACTTTGCCCAAAACTACGAAAGTTATAGCCAATTCAAACCCGCCCGAAAAATCCAAAATTCCCTCTGAAACTCACTTTTCTCACTACAATTCTGCTCCAAAATCAAAGGCCAACTTGTCACAGCGACGTTCCCAACAGTGTTGTTTTCATGGAATATGATCAAGTCATGATGCCCTTCGCCGATCGTAAATTCCTCAGCCTCGAGTTTGGTAGTGTCAATTCGTTCTCGCTTCTTTCTCCTCGGCGCTTTGGGCTGTGAGTACTTGGCGAGAGCGCGGATATCCTGCTCAAGCCGGTACTCCTTCTGCGCGGCGGTTAAATGGGCGTTCATAAAGGTGGATTCGTCGAGTTTAGGGGCTACTGAAATGGAGATTCGACTAGAGTTTTTGAACTTGCAGCATGAGGTAGTATCTTAAATACAAAAGCTTATTTTTTCTGGTTTATAATATTTTTTCTGGTATATACAATGGCGGACCTGATCCAGTGGCAAAAAATTTACCATTTTGCATCCGGGAAGCATCAAAAAAAATGTGGAATAGTACCTCCCTCTCTAAGTTAAAAATCCCGATTTAAAAAGCGCGCGTTATTTTTGTTACAAGGAAAGTACTTCTATGGGGTGTGGAATTACCGGTCGAGATATATATCAAAAAATTCGCAAAAATTTTCTGATTCAGAATATCTATAAATTAGCTGCCTAATTTTGGTCTATCAGCGAGTTTTTTCAATAAATGTTTTTCTCGAGGAAAAAAAATCTGCGGCAACAAAAGCGCGCTCGGTCTCTTCCTTCGGAAGAGAGCGGTGTGGCCGAGTGGTTAGAGCGCTGGCTTGGAAATCCTAGGGAAACGGTTTCGATTCCTTTTGCCACACTAGATCCCAGGAACTACTTTTAAAGTGTAGTTGTAATCTAATTTGATATTTTAGGGCTTGTCAAGGCCTCAGAATTTAGTTTAGCACAAAACAAAAATTTTTTTTTGGTAAAAACACGTTCAAAAAGACACTTGCATGGTGTCGCGAGAAAACTTCTGACGACAAAAACATGTCATTAGACCAAAATTAGGCAGCTAATTTATATATATTCTGAATCAGAAATTTATTGCGAATTTTTTGATATATATCTCGACCGGTAATTCCACACCCCATAGAAGTACTTTCCTTGTTAGGAAGCCCTTCAAAACGGAGATTTTTTAGTTGGAGAAGGAGGCATTTTGCTACATTTCTGGACACTTCCCGGATGCAAAATGGCACCTTTTTTGCCACTGGATCAGGTCCGTAACTGTATCTATTCACGTTTCTCACAGATTCTACACTTACATGGGCTAGAATATATTCGTTTCATTTGATTATGATTTAAAAATGTGTATCCTTCGTTGGTCAAATGCATTTTTTGCTGATCGTCCATTTCATCCTCCACTTTTCGCCATTGACTTTCCCACCGTTGCAACTCGACAATTTTGGGGTAGACGTCTCTTTCCAATGACTGCATTTTTGGTTCTAACTCTTTAACCGACTTCTCGAGAGCGTCTGACGCTCCACTCAGTTGCATCAACGTTTCGAGCCATTCGTTAGTCTCGTTGCGACCGATTGAGAGGAACTGAAAGATGAGGATTTAAAAAAGTTGAAGTTATGGAGATGTTGATTGTGTGTTTTTATCTTTTCAGTGTTGTGCTGAGTTAGCAGAGTCTTCCGGGAACACTGTTTCCGAGGAAAATTAAGAAAAGAAGCGGCACAAATGCGATGCTTAGATTCTGTTTTAATTTTGCGCAAGGATTGGGCATAGATGTTACGGTTTGCAGAGGCAGTCGAGATATTCAACCTAAGAAAAAAGCCATCGAGAAGTAACCGAAGTGCGGATTCGGAGTTTTAACACTACCCCGTCAACCCAGCGTAGCTTTTAAGCACCTTGGTCAGAAAATAGCTTAAAAGCTATTTTCTGACCAAGGTTTAATCGAGGCGCCTTTTATCACTAATGGAATTTTGAAATTTTTTTTGACTGTGTTTTTTTGGCTATCTGGGACAAAACGTTGCTTTGTGATCCCAAAATCTGACAAATTTTGCTTTCCAAAAATTCACCCGAAAAAATTTTACTGTCTAAAATCTTTTAGTAATCGATAGTGTGTGGACGAAACGTCTAAACGGTTCAGGAAATACCCTCTATTGACGTGCTGTCCATTTTTTAGCCATTTCCGTGCAATTATCTGTTAAATTTACATAAAGTCCGTAGACTTTTTTCACGGCACACAGTGCATTTTGCTTCTTTTTTCATTATGCAGCCGTTTGTCAGCACGGCGCAGTTGCAAAAATCTGACGTCATTTTTTAATTTCACTGTGAAAAAGTGAAATGCACAATGCGAAAGGCTTTGCGACGAAAAGTCTATGCACTTCATGGACAGACTAGTGATACTATAATATTAGGTTGATTCAAAAGTTTTTCCACATGTCTTTAAAAAATTTTAAAAAATTTAGACCAAAGCCAGTGGGCCTGATATATATCTTGTTAGAAAGGGGGCTGTTTGTAGATTATAGTAGATTAATAACTTTTTACAACTTAGCAATTTGTAGTAGTAGCGCCGTGTTAAACCTTAACTACTCGAAGGAAGAAAAAGTAAACCGCCGGCGTTACGTCTAGAGTGGCTGTATCTTCTTAATATTCTAGAATATGGTATGCCTGTATGTAATCTCTATGGCATCGAGGACAATTTGCTATAGGGCTAGTCGAAAAATTTTTAGTGCGAAAAATCAAAAATTAGGGTCTGGCAAAAGTAGACCCTGTAGGCGCAGCTATTAGAAGCACTTAGAGATAACGCTTTCTGTTATTGTAGTGTATGAGTAGCACTACGACGCCAATGCTAAACATTCGCGCTAGCTTTAGCTATGCGGCAGAAAAATCGAATCTTTCTAATCTACCAATATTTTACGAAATTTAGGGGATTTTTACAAAAACGTTTTCTGTTCATTACTCTCGCCCGGTATCCTAGTTATTTAATAAATAATTGATCCTACTTGACATACACTATCAGTTGCTAGACGCGCTAAGCTGAAGGTCCTCTTGCCATACCAGTAAAAAAATTTCAAAAATTCGCCTAAAAGTGCAGTTTATGCTACTTTTCTACCTTATAAGGCAATTTCAGTTGGTGACTTTTTGAATGTATCATCAGCATACTGTCTTTGTACAACCTGAATGGCAGCCGAGTCAAAAAAGTCTAACTCCTTTCAAAAAATTTTTAAAAATCTGCTTTTGATCGGTAGCTCGGCTCTTCGGCCAACTTTATGGGATGCTACAAAAAACGTCAGTGTAGATATAAGTAGAGCAATAAATTCAGAGGAAACTACAGCCATCTCCAGTACGAATAACCCAAAACCCGAGACTTTTTAGTGGGCTGGAAAATTGCTAGGGCCCGGGATATTCACCATGACACAAACGGAGAAATTTTTAGTATTTTTGAAGTATTCTGAAAGGAAGCTTGTAGAAAATAAAATGCTACGAATCAAAAATTTTGCAATGTTCTGCCCCATACATCTATGCTTTCAGTTTTAACGTACATTCAATCAGGCTTCAGGAATTTTATTTTGAAGTGTCTCAAAAAAATGTGGAAAAACTTTTGAATCAACCTAATACATCATTGCATCATATCGTATTATGTATTTCCTCTTTGTATGTTTTCACTTTCCTCACGAATCCACTCTGATTTGTTGTTTTTGAATTGAAAACACGTACTCTGACCTTGTATTCTTGTACGTTGCTCGCGACTACGGTACTCTTAAAGTGGCGTTTTTGTTATTTGCCCTTTTTTTGGATAAACAATTCTCGAAAAAACATTTTTTTCATTCCATGACTACAACAGATTTTCGTGATAAAATCAAAAAAGCGGCGATTTTCAATTTGCAAAATTGATGAAAAACACGGGCGTAAAGTTACTGTAGATTCTTTGAAGATACGTTTTCAAAAAACAAATTTTGAAGGAATTGTAAAAATACAATTTTTTCGCTTGATCTTGCTAACTGCAAGTGTTTTAAAGCAGTACTTTTAAGGCCTGTAAAAGTACCACAAAGCCCTAAAGTGTCATCGCCCTAATCCTTGCGAACCCATTCTCGTATCTTCCCATTCAATATCACAAATTGCTGCAAAGCGTTTTTATTCTCCCCTCATCGAAATCTGTTTATAATAATCCGTGCACTAAAAACGGGCATTTCGCAAATTACTTTACAAATTCCCCGCGGGCGGCTATTTGCGGAAACTTTGTAATTTTAAAGCAGATTTTCGTACAAACCACCGCTATAGTCGGATTAATTGAAACGTTCTATGCCTGGCTAATGAGTAACGTTCGAGTGGAAAAGTCTTAATAAACAGACGAGTACGAAAGTGCGTAATGTGAAGAGATGTCGTCCATTTCGGAGGCAGAAAGTTAGTTTGAGAGTGTTTTTTTGGGAATTTATGAAATATTAATTTTTATAAAAGCTAAAAGGATAGGCTTTGCATGACGCAAAAAAAAACGACCAATTTTGTTATTGAAGATACTTGCAAAATGATCGAGGGGAAGTGCTCAAATTGCAATGCAAGATTATGAAGAAACTTGACAAAAATTTGGGTTCATCTTTCTGTTCCTTCATAAAAATAACTTTTTTTGGTTGAAAGTCATCAAAAAATTGACAGAGTGACCCAAAAGAACGGAGGCAACAGATTTTCTGTTTTCTCCGCTACTTATTAGGCTTCATGAAAAACCCTTTATTTATGATGTATATACTACCACGTTAGAGTAGTTATATGTATATACTAGTGCAAATAGACATGGCTACCGGGCAAGGAGCACCACCTCCGGCCCGGTATAATTACTGAGTCTTGAAGCGAAAATTGGGTGCGCCAATAAAAACAAAACGCAATGCCAAGACATGACTGGGTTTTTTGAGATATTTTTGTTTATATCTTCGGAATACAGCATTTATCAATGATATTAGCAAGTTTTAAACTGGTCAGTCCGGCCGACGATTGGCGTACTCTCAAAATTTTTTCTTTGGCAGCTTTGGTCTAAAAATTAAAGAGTTTTCTGCAAAGCATCAGCTTAAAAAACATAAAAAATTTTGTAATGTTTTGCGTGAATATTTGTGCTGTAAGTCTATGAGTTTTTTTATGATTTTTAAAACTTCACTTTTCATTTAAAAAATCACATTTTTCATCACCACCATTACCTCAGGATTCAATGCCAGATTGGCCAATCACAGGCGGCTGCGAACATAGCTTGTTTATCCTTCGAAAACAAATATTTTTTCTTCCATTTGTTATTTTTATGCCGAAAGCCCCGTGACCATAGTTTATGTTTTTGCAGTTGCAAACGGGCTTGATAAACAAATTGTCTGTCTGTTTTCACGCGAAATTCAATTTGGAGCTAATTTTAGCCCCAAGGTAAATACTGTTTTCTCGCCGTTCCCCAGAGTGCATTCCCGGAAAGAGCATCAATTTGGGCTAATTTCAGGCGTGGAGCTCTTGTTTACCGCTTTTTTGGGATTAAAGTCTCAAAGAGTAGTGCCCGTTTTGGAAATAATAGGGGATAATTTTAGTGTTTCTTCACTTCCGAGTCTTTTTTGGTTGCTAACAAGGAGATTTGTATGAGAGATAATTGAGGTTTGAGCTGAAATTTTGGGGTTCTGACGGTGTAAAAAGTGTGTTGTTAGTTGTTGGAGTGTTTGCGGTGTAGAACGAGAAGAATTAACAGAGAATCAGCGACCAAGCTACAAAGCGGTGACATCAGAATAAAGCGTTCTGAAGCTGTCTTTTCACTGCAAATGCAGATTCATCATATTGCGTTCAGAGAGAATGTGCTGTAATGAAAATTGCCACATATTTAGACAGTTTCTTTCTGAGACATATATGAGATTCCTGTAGCTTGCGGTTAGCAGAAATAAAGATTTTGGCTCTTAAAACTTGGAGAAAATTTACATCTTTCTATGCAAATTTTTGGTGTGAAAATCTTCAGAAATTTTTCCTATTGGGACAAAAACGTTTCCGCAAGAAATCAATTTTTTCCCAGAGTCGGCAAAATTATGGCAAAAAAAATTTGCATACCAAAACTCAGCGTTAAAGCTACCAGAGAAGCCAGCAAATTTTTACAGTATTCAATCTTTAACTGTAGGGAATTTATAGCCAAAAATATTTTTTCTCTGGCCTCCTCTCCGCCATTACGCACTCTCTTTTCAGCAATCCCGCTTGGATATCTCTACTGCTTTGACTGCTTTGAGGAAAGGATTTAGGGCGCCATTTATAATAGTAGATTGCTCCAAGACTTGAGAGAACACAGACGTTGCTTTATGTAAAATAGAGTTATCTAATCTTGCATACGCCGGAAATTTCGTATTCTAATCAAGTAGCGTTCTAAAGGAATTTCCACTTTTCAACGTTCTTTTCGAAATTGAAAAACAATGACAAACTTTCGATTGAAACCCGTTGTGATCTCTGCAATCAAAACATTCTCTTTACAAAACCTTTGAAATATTGGTCTTGCAATGATTTTTCTTTTGTTTCACTATTTCTCAATAGTATCTTAAAGTACTAAAATAACTCTTTTCCGGTTCTAAAAAACCGTAATTCCCACTACCGCCGACTACAGTTCCTACAGCCACCCGCAACTTTATTTGCGAAATTTTCCCCGGTTGTAAACCGAATTTACAGTCGTCAACTTTCGAAGATAGTTACCATGCCCTGCGGCGTGACTTCCCGTTGCACCTCGGGATGTATTTGAAAAACAGGCTCGTCGTAGTAATCGTAAACAAGCCCCTTAATTTGTGCAATTTTCTGCAAAAAAAGTCATCCGAAAAACAGAAAACATGAAGGGACGGGAATAAAATTTAATACGATACTATTTTCTGGATTATATGGAAAGTGTTGTTGTTTTTATCACCCAAAGTAATCTATAATTGGGGGTCATTACGGTGGTTCTTTTGTGCTTTGGTTGTCAAGGAGAGTCGGATTAAACTCGAAGTCCAACCACCGTATTATTACATGTAAATACATATGTATATATGTACGGAGTAATTAGCCTTGGCCATCTTGCAAATGAGCTCGTTGAAGTGTTCGCGAAAGCTTTTCAAGAGTAAATAAAGCATTTTGATGATTTTTGATCACAAAATGGAAAAAAGTTTCGTGTTTATCGCTATCATAGGTGGTAGTGTTTGCACAAAAAATCGTTTTTTTTCTATCCTAGATGACAGTAATGAATATGTGTTGAACCTGATCCAGTGGCAAAAAACGTACCACTATGAATTCGGGAAGTATCAAAAAATGTAGCAAATTACCTCCCTCTCCAAGTGAAAAACCTCCGATTTCAAAAGCTCGGCCGCTCTTTTTGTGAGCGAAAGAGCGCGACCTAGTTGGAGAGGGAGGAATTTTGCCATATTTTTGATACCTCCCGATGCAAAATGATACCTTTTTTGCCACTTAATCAGGTCCGTCGCTGTATATATTATAGATCCGGAAAACGTTGTTCTCTCTTACCGCTCTTAGTCGATATATATTTCGGTTACTGTGTTTATATTATTGTGCTTCAATAACAACCAGCTTACCTTAAAAATGTCGGGCAAAGACAACACTCCATCGTTGGGTTGAAAACTGAATAGATTTGGGGAAAGCAGATGAGGTCGCCTTTTGCCACTAAACAACGGCAACAGTCGTGGAGACAGCACCGAGATCTTGCTGTTGTTTCGCTAAAAGAATAGGATTTGAAAAGAGAAAAATAAACTTTGCAAAAAGTGAACAGAACACAAGAAGACGGAGTACTGCAAGTGTAACTCTCAGAATTTGATGACAATTGTCGCAAATAAGGAATAATTTTTTGCCGACAATAAAAAATTTTTACGAGTTTTCTAGCCCGCGCTTTGCAGAAACGACCGAGATTCTTAGGTCCAAAGTTGGTAAAAAATGTGACACTTTTTTGCGAATTTTGGCATAAAAAATTGCATGTTAATTTTTAAGGTAATGTTCCCGCTCTCTGCTTTTCAAGTAGTCTTTGCGCGACATTTTTTACATTGCAAAAATTTATCTAAAATAGTCACCATACCATTCCATCATTGATCATTTTCACAATCTCATCGAGAAATCCGAGTTTCTCCGGCTCTTTCACGCTGAATTCCATCTTGAGGCCGGCCCGTCGAAAGTATTCGGAATTAACGTTATTGACCTCATTTGCGTATTTGTTGCATTTCTCTACAGTAGATATGTAATTGCGGATTTTTTGGAGGTTACTCAAAGCCGGCGGCAATGACCGTTTCTCTCTTGTCTTGGCCTTGTTGAAAACGGTCAGCTGTTTTTGTTGTTCTACTCTTAAGTCGTTGATGATTTTGACGAGATCTGGGTCTGGTTCGTTTTCTTGAGATTCGATGGGAATTTCCGGTGGATTATCAGAGGGATTTTCGGCTAAAAAAAAGAGCTACAGCAGTGGTAAATCAAGCTGTTTTATGGGCCCAAACTTTTGGCAAAATTACTTACCATTCAAGTTCAATTTGCCCTTCCCATCATCTGTTGCGACGCCCAGAGTTGGCGAAGGAAAAACCTCATGAAACAAAGACTTCATTGAGCTGAACAGATCGGTCGATTTCTGAGGACTCGCGTAATTTTGGCTTTGATTGTCGCGGGAATTGAGCAGACCAACGACGCAGGCCGCGAGCGTTGGAGGATTTTGCGCTTCTCGTGCACATTGGTCATAGACGATCCGTTCTGTCGAGGGAAGTTGACGCTTTAACGAGTTGGCTTTCACCTGAAATTGCATATATTTTCAAGCCGATGTTTAGGTCTATAAATCATTTTGCCAAACTCACAACCCCCCTCAACTCACCCTCAACAACGCCATCACCGCATTTCGATGCCAAAAATCATTCAACTTGTCCAAGTTCAAGTCCAAATAACTGACCTCGCACCTCACCCTCGAAACCAACAAAACCACCAAAACAACAACACAGACATTCATCCCGAAACCAGTGCCATTAACCGAAATGATCGCCACTTTCACTCCATTATAACAGCCATTTTTTATGCCAAATGTCATCAGATGGACGTCAAGTACGGTGGCAGCGAGAAGGTCATTCGAAGCGGAAATGGAGCAGAACTTGACAGTTTCGCGTTCACAATGGACCCGAGTTGACTTTTCATCCTCCATTGCCGCTCAATGGGGTTTGACTTTTGGCGGTGAAGCGGGAGTTTCCGCGATTTTTGCATATTCCTGTTTTCGGAGGGAGTGTTGAAATTAATGTTTGTTTTGAATTAACTCAGATTTTCTTGAAATTTTGGATCTGCCTCGGACATAGGCCATAATATGCAAAACGGTCAGAGAAAAAAATTTTTGGCCTTTTCTTGGCCAGATATTAATTTTTTGAAAGAAGTAGTTACGAAACTATGTGATGATGCCAAATTCGTCAGTGCGCGGCGTTTTTGCCATCTTATGACAGAAAAATCTCGGCTATTTCTTCAAGCCGAGGAGTCTCGTATGTCCTGGAAAAGTTATCTAAATTTGCGGCATATTCCCTCAAGTTCTGAGCGTCGCAGTTGGAGCACTCCTCTCCTGTAGTTAAAAGGAAAGTGCCTGTTGTTTAATATTTACAATTATATTATGCAATATAAATATAGCTTGACACAAACCTAGACTGACATTGGAAAGACGTCTAACTTGCCCTCTGCGATTGGTGAATTCCAACAAAATCACGTCTAAAATACTGTGGAGCCTCTATATACCAAACTTGAATTCAAAACACTAGTCCATTAGGAGCAACATCAGAGGTCCTAAAAGCCCATTTTAGGCCAAAGAAACCTCCATAAGCGTAATCCTTCGGTAACGAAAATTTTCTTTTCACATCGCTGTTGTTTGTAGAGGTGCAACGAAATGCGCATTAATTTTTTTACACTAAATTGAATCTACCGTAACCTCATTGTTAATTCTATTTCCTTGTTCCTTCCTCGTTTCTTAATTAATTCTTTGCTGTTTTTTTTATATTCGGCCATTTTGTGCACTACAAACCATAAGGAGACCTGAGGTATGGGAACTTTCACAACAGCTGAAAAATAAGTTTTACACCTTATGCACATGTGTTTCTCATGGTGATATCACAGTGAAACAGGCATAAGAAATACCAAAATTAGAATGTAAGTTGTGGATATATGGGCTTAAAGCTTGCCAGGTGTTTTGAGAATGGTGTAATGACAATATACTGTGTAAAAAAAGTTTTTTCTTATAGTGACATTTTGTGCTATGGTTGGCGCAGTACTTCTAACTGGACTTGGAGACAGTGGCAAATTATTTCCCGGAAATATAATACATGTTATATAATCTTCCGCAATTCAACCAGACCTAGCTGCCAAAAAGGTGGGTGGCCGACCGGGCATGCTCTTGGACCTTTCTGTTTTCTTGTCTTACTGCGCATTAGGCCCAAAAAATAGCGGTCACTTGGCTCAAAAATTACTTCTGCTTTGTACAAGCGGCAGAGATTTTCGATGGATTTTTTGGCCAGAATTCCACCAGCCCAACCAGCAACATCACCGAAAAAAAACTTCGGACTTCATGGCTCGACTCGATCGACCATAAGCAGTATGACTAAAGGGCCAGGACATCTACAATGACGGACCTGATCCAGTGGCAAAAACTGTACCATTTTGCATCCGGGAAGTATCAAAAAATGTAGCAAAATGCCTCCCTCTCCAACTAAAAAAACTATGTTTTGAAGACCTCTCTCCCAAGAAGAGCAGGCACGTTTTTGAAATCGGAGTTTTTTTCACTTGGGAAGGGAGATATTTTGCTACATTTTTGATACTTCTCGAATGCAAAATGGTACTTCTTTGCTGCTGGATCAGACCCGTCACTGTGGACAGAAACAACGCCTTTTACGGGTAGAAATGTTTCTTATGTCCTGCTGCAAAATTCAAACTAAAATTTTTTGGATATTTTGTTTTCCAATGCGTAAAACAGGCGATTTAAAAGTTGTTGTACTGGTCTTCTAACGACGTATTTACTATCGCACAAAAAGTCTCCATTTTTGTTGACTCTGTCTTTAAATTCTTGTCCGAGAGATTACAAGAGATACCTTAGACATGTCCAATTTCTTCAACTTTATTATTGCTCCAAGATCTCTAATCTGCGCCTGCCAACGCTAAGCTTCCGGAAATTCTATTTTGTCTTCGAAAACTTTTATCAATAATGTATCGGGCTTCATTAAATAAGTCCTCGACCTCTACTTCCTTCCGCATTAGCCCCCTTCCCTTTATGTTCCTACTTTATGTTCCTACATCTCCTCCGAAAAGAACACATGTCAACATCCGAGCCCTTCGATTTCACGCGTTCCTGCGTCCACCACAAAAAACTTCGAATTAATTATGCATTCCGGTCGTATCACTCCACCCCGGCTCATCTGCATATTAAACGGCCACAACCGGAACGACGCAGCTGATTTTGATTGTGTTTTTATTCGTGTATATGTACAAAATTGGAAATAAATATTTATATAATATCCATATACAAACTTAACGATATGTACAAAGACCATTCGGCGGGGAGAAACCAACGTATTTGAGGGAAGAAAAAGAAACGATGATAAATGCTATCAGTTTTGATAAGAGGAGGAAACACGTTTGGAGTTGAGTTCATGGAAAATATTACACAAGACCATTATGACCCTTATAGTAAGAAGAAAATGTAAAAACAATTTCGCTACTATTTAGAATATCTGAAAATGAGATTTTGAAAATTCCAGGGGGAAATCAACAAGAATTCTTGTTGAAAACCCCCTTGAAAATCCACAAAACCCCATAAAATCTTTGGTTATAGTCAATAGCTATGGCATTACTACCCTAAACTTGCAAGCACTCTCAAAATAGTCCCCCATTCTCATTGGGGATTTGAATATAAAGACATTGATCGGTGGGCACACACCCACTCCTCATGCTCTTGTTGAAGCCACCGAAACTTTGGCTGCTGCTATTGCTCATCTGCGAGTTGGACTGTGCCATCAACCGCATCACGTATTCGATCTCCACATTCAACGAGTTGCTCGACCTCCGCGGGTGGTAGAACTTTTCGGATGGGCGCGAAACTTCAGGTCCGAAAGTCATCATTATTGAGCGTTATACTGTGGTAACTGTAGTGGGTAAAATGAACTGTAGATACTGAGCTTTGTAGTGGGTAAAATGAACTGTCTTTGTCGACCAAGATTATAGCTTTTCGACTACTTGGAAGTCGTATTTTATCGGTCGAATCAAGCGAGTTGACTGTGAATGTTACGGGTTTTTGTTCGCCAGCCCTGAAAGCAGCAGAAGATTAGCTTTTTGACACCATTAATTATTTACTGCCTATCAAATAACACGCGAGAAAAACGCAAAATATGTGTTCCACACAAAATTGAGGGCCAAAAATAAATAAATGGGAACGGAATTATGGCATGGGACGTGGGAATTAAAAAAAAATAAAGGACTTTTTTTAAGTATAAATAGCCATAAGCGGGCCAAAAAAGGTAAACCCAGTAAAAAAAGTTTTCCAAATATAGGCATTTGATCTCAAAGCCCTTGAAATCCCTAAACGAAACCTTAATTTGTGCCAAACATCCCAGAACGTGCCAAACATCCAAATTCCTGCCGACCATTGGCCAGAACTTCCTTGAAGCCGCTCGCTTCGCCCTCTTAATACGATTGTTTTCCACTTGCAAGCCGAAAGGAAAACCCCCAGCGGGAACTCGGCGCGTGGGGCGAATGTTGTTCGATGCGGAATGAACTCCCCACCCCCTATTTATACGCCGCAGGCACTCGAAACAATTTATCGGCCGTTTCGTTGTCATGTGGGGAAAAGACGGCGGGGCGGAGTCGGGGGGTGAAATGGACAGAAAAATATTCGAAAAGAAAGAATGGAAAACTTTGTGAGGGGTGGGATCAGCTGTCGGACAGTCCGACCGCCTTCTTGAACGGTTTACAGCGAGCCCGTTGATGGAGAAGGCAAGAACATGTTGAAAAATTATTAAAGAAGATTGATCTTGAGTTCAGAATTTTGAGTTCAGATGTATAACGGTCAAAATTGAAGGAGATGAACCTCTGTTTTTGGTCGCTGATACTATCCTGATCGTACCATACAAAAAATATCATCATTAGCACTCTGATTAAAACGGCATTGAAAAACAAAAAGCATATTGCAATAGTTGATGTACAAAATTTCATATTGATGACTTAATTTTTCTTACAAAACATGTGAAACTCCAGGATCGCACTTTTCAGAAATTACTGAAATTTTTAACTCAGAAGTTGGCCAAAATGCGGCATTTTTTTTTTGCAAATCCCGGTTTTTTTTTATTTTTATATTCTCCATTGTAGATAGTATTGTACCCACAAAAAAAATATTTTTTTGTTCCACTCAAAATTAGCGATGACCAAGGAAAATTCTTCTCTATGACCTCAAAAATAATTGAATATCTCGGCTGCGTCTGTAGATCTCACGCTAAAACTTTCAGCAATTGATTTCAAGACAATGGTCACCACTTGTGAAAATTTTCAATAAAATCAAAGCATTTCCCCAACATAAATCTTCATCTGAAACTCAAATATGACCCTAATTTTCTCACCATACTTTCACATCCCTCGCCTTTACAAGAATATCCCAAAAGTTTGGTTCGAAATTCATTTATTTATTTCCTCAATTGCACGTAAAACTTCAACATTACTTTCACCGACCTTCGTAGATTGTCGACGTGTTAATGAAAGAACGTTTGAATAATTCAACAGACAGATATGTACAAGTTTCTTTTTTACATTGAATTTCCGATGAGTCCTAGAAGGGAGCTTCGGAAGAGTTGTATATTTAGACCAGTGTCATGTGAGCTCATAAATAAGAAGATAGTATGTACAAAATCGGGGAGTACAAAAGTTAAATTTACGGAGATATGTACAATATATACAATTTGTTATGTACAATTCGTGCATAAACATGATACAAATTATTGTTTTGAAGATTTTTTGGTATAGAAATTGCAGATAGAGATACGTCTTGAGTGCAATATGCTTAGGCAGTAGAGTAAGCAGCTATGTGATGAGCAGAAAATTCAGAACAAACCGCCCCTGTTGTCTTTGGGGATGTGGATATACAAGCACTGGTCCGGAGGGGTACTTCCAAACATGTTATGACCCTTGCCGGACCCAATGTAGTTGTTGTTGATGTCAGTGGAATGTGTTGTCGTCGGCATTGAGGCATTCGCCATCAATCGCATGACATGCTCAATCTCGTTGTTGAGGTTGTTGCTGGAGCGGCGAGGGTGGTAAAAGTCATCGGAGCCGGAGAATGTTGGAGCAACAGTCATTTTGATTGATGAAACAGTGATTTTGAGGGGGTAACAGATGATAGGAGATGAATATTAGGAAAAGATGGGCTTCAGAGGTAACACCAGGTGATCTGTAGTCTTTATGAACTAGAAATCTCACCAAAACCGAGATTTTGTGACAGTTAACGCGGGCTTTCCTCTCTGAAAAAGTCAAAAATTTAATTTCCTGTCAAAAAAATTTAAGAGCGCGTATATAGGAAAATTTCGACAACAAAAAACTCGGTGAAAAACTAGCCACTGTCCATCTTCAACACTCAATTATTTATGAAGCGACTTTCTGAGATCCGCGCGCTCGTTTTATACCCCTAATGTTTCGCGTTTCGCAATAACATCTTGAGCTGAGTGGGCGGGGTCGGCCGGACAAATGAACGAAGAAAAAACGAAAAACGCGCGGTCAGCAGACGAATTGGCGCGCGAAAGGTCGATTTCGACAGGGCTTTTTACGAAGCGTAAACCCCGCCTCGGATGACTAATGGGCGTTAGGCAACGTGTCGTAAGTTCGTAACGAAAACGAAGTAAACAACGAAAAAATTGGAGCGAATTTTGAAAATCGGAAGGTCAAAATAAGATAAAAAATGATTTCTACACTCCTATGTTAGATAATAATGTAGTTAAAAACACCGTAAATTTAAAGTTAAAGTCTTCAAGGGCATTCTTTTTTAATCTGCTGTAAATGCTGACGAAAATGCTGACAATTCCCTGCCAGCAAAGATTATAATTTTGTAGCTTGCCCATATGCCTTTGAACTACGGTAAAAACTTTTAAAATGTGATACACATACAATTTGAATATGTTTCTTTACTCACATCTACTTCTTTTTTTGACTGTTTTTTAGAGCTCACTGTACGAAATGAACATAATAAAAAGGAATGTCAAGTTGGGTGTAAACTGTGCTTGAAGTACGCCAAAAATAAAATGTTTTGATGGCAGACTTGAAATAAACTGTCATTGTAATAGCAACTTGAACTTATGAGAAAAAAGAAGTTAAAATTTTTGATATAAAAATAAAATTTTTTTGGTTTTCTAGAAGCCTTTGGGCTTTAGTTTACATAGTTTTGCATCACGTTTCGGATAAAATGGATTTGTTGGGAGAAGCCTTATTGGAGTAGCATTATATCTGTTTTCATACTCTCCGAACAACAATTGTTTGAAGAGATTTCTGAGAGATTGTATGGCTTCAAAGCCGAGGTATTTTTAACAAATTTGATGGGGTTTGTAACAGCTAATGTAGCTATGAAATAATTAGCAATTTGCAAGAAAAATTGCTGTAAGATTTTAATGGCTTTGTCACCGATTTGACAAGCCTTAAAAAGCTGACGCAATCAGCATTTCAACGCTGATTTCCGCGGCATTATGGACGGCTATCGCCAAAGTTTATGTCTCTGGAAGTTTTACAATTTACTGTGCTTTGAATTCTGCTACTTATAGATTCAAATTTATCCGAAAATTTGGCCCTGAACACCTGAGAGATCAAAGACAACCTCGTCTTTGTTTTTCCAGCGCCCTTCATATTCCCAAGGTCAGCATTTCCTTGTTGCCCCGTTTGCCAAGTCATGAGAGAGCGCTTGTTTTCCACACACTCACATTTTCCTCAATTTTTCATATTTCCAAACCGCTGACTAATCGCACTTTCGATCATGTCTTCGAGATTTATCCCTCAAGGTCGACGCCGCCGCGCAACCGAAATTTCTCGACGCATCCCGAAGAGCGCGTAAAATTCGAAAAACGGGAACGTAAACAAATCCGAATTGGGGTCAAAAAACAATTCGAAATGACCAGCTGACCAGAAACGTGCGAATCGCGTCGGGCTTTCCGCCGAAACGCGTGCGTTTCCCCAACCTCAGCGCTCCGACTAATAATAACGGAGGGAGGAGGGAGCAGAGAACGCACAGGGAGCAGAGAACCGTCATGGAAAGTTTGCCGGTCTGGCGATCGGTTTGGAAAAGAAATTAGAAATTACAATCGACTTTTCAAAGACCATCAGACGTCGGGAGAGGAGTGATGGACGCTGAAAAAAGTCGCTACAAAATTGTTAAAAAGTTTTGTCTCGCTCAATTAATGATGAAAAGTTGATGCGTTTTTGGTCTCTTTAAAGGCCGCGTTTTGCGTAATAGAAACTGCAAGAGCTACAAACTTTCGTTGAAATCGAAAAACAGCTTTGTATTCTCATAAATTGTCCATCAAAAAACCCGCTATAAAATTGATTAGATTAAATTTTCAAAATCTTAAAGACACGTAATGGAAAATTTATTTCCTTGTTTTCGCGGTGGGACATTCTTTTATAATAACATTTATTTTATTATTCGTTGAAAAATATCTCCGTCCCACCACGAAAAAAAGAAAAAAATTTCTCCACTAACTCTCGTGAAATTTTGAACATTTAATTTAATCAATGTTAAAGCGGGTTATTTGATGGATAATGAGAGAGAATACAAATCTGTTTTCCGATTGCAACCGAATTTTGTAGCTCTTGCAAATGCATCAAGTGTACAAACGAAGCTTGATGAGGTAAACACATCGAAGACCTAAAACTAAAAAAAACCGAAGGGTTCTGTAGCTTTCTGTAGAGGTTTTTGACGGCCTCTTTGATGCAGACAACAAGGTAATTCGATGAGGTAGCGAAAAGAAAATTCAAAATTCGGCAAAGTTCGGCTCAAACTTGAGCGTTATTTTCGAATATTTATCCATGGATACCAACTCGGATGTTTTTTTCAAAACATCAAAACGTGATCGAAGAAAAACCATTTTTCACGTGGTCCTCACCTCATGTGCTCTCTAGCAGAGAAAAGCTTTGCAGATCGTGGCCACTAAAAGTTAGGGGCTAAAGACCTTATTGTTAGGTGATCATTCATGGACATTTCAACGGCGCTGCTCTTGTAAGCAACCATTTTGTGGGCAGCCTACATTTAACAATTAGAATTACGATTTTTCTACCGTAATCTGCACAGTATGATAAAATTTTTTCATTGAAAACTCCCTAGTACTGATAAGTACACGAATCTATTAAACTCAGCAACCGCTTTCAAAGTTAGGGGTGTTTGTTTTCAAAAAATGGTTTTTGAACTTTTAAAAATGCCTGGTACACATCAAAACGTTTTACATTCTACGAAAATTTAAAAATCCGAATGGATAAGATTGCTTGTTATGGTCATAAAACAAACTTTTGTTCAGGAAGTTTTCTTGAAAGTTCATCTCCGGTGTGGAGTAGCGCGAAACATGAACTTTGCGAAAAATCGGGGGTTTTTCGTACTTTAAAGGGCAAAAGGTCAGTTAAACCACCCAGTTTCTTTGAAAATCATGTTCCAAACTATGAAAGGCACCTATATGGTCATTTGCGAATAATTTTCCGTCCCGCCCTGTAGACCAACAAGGTCAAAGTTCATGAAATTCAATAAACTTGTTTTAATTGAAATAACCAGTGTAAATCAACAAGTTTTAACGCATTTTCTCAATTATAGTAAATTTTACCTTATTTTAATTTACTTTCATCGTTATACAAGACATTACCATTGAGCGTTTGGGCGGCGAACTCTAGGAACTCTGGACTCTTTCTCTTGACATTCTGTCCGGTCATGGTATCTGGTCCGGTTTTTAATGCTGATCACGATGGGGTTGGTTTCGAATCCCGAAATTTGAAATTTGACGCCCTTAGGGCGTTTTTTCGAATTTTTGAAAATCCGGGGGAAATTTTCCGGATTCGATTTTCGCCCTGAAGCCGTAAGCATAGACGGCTGAAATTTGGCCTAATTATGGCCAGGCAAAATACCCCGAGCCGTATTTTTCAGATTTTTGAATTTCGCTCTAGTTTCCGAGAAATTCGACATACCGTGCAAAAATTTTGAAACCCCGAAAACTTTAAATCGCGTAGTGCTTTCGTATATTTGTCGTATTTTAGAAATCGAATACCCACTGTAGGGTAGTTTGGCATGCTGAATGCTATGGCACACGCAAAAATCCGAAAATTTTGAAGCCTGTGCCCTGAGGGCCGATTTTTCGAAAAAAAAGTGCCAAATGGACCAAAATGCAACTTTTTGAGAATCCCACCGTAGCTCAGAAGCCGAAAAAAATTCAGAAGATACTACATCCAATTTCGGAGCGAACTGCGTGCCGAGTTTTTGAATTTTGACCTAGGTTAAATTTTTTGATATTAAACATGGCACCAAAAATTTCAAAAAATCTCGAAATGATAAAATACAAAATGCGATAGAGAGAAGCGAAACGTGGTTCTAGAGCAAGTCAGGGACGCTGATTCAGAATTCGTTCTCAGAATCCAGAAATTCCGTCATCTTGATGGCGAAAATTGAAAAATTCTGAAAAGTGCGCTGAGCTGAAAAATCGAAAACCTCTGTACTGTAGCGGGTTAAGGTCTCTGTTCTTCCGCAAGACTTCCCGACTATTCTGGATCTATTTTTTGGACCTTTGCATGCTTCAAAACAGTTTTAATGCAACAAAAAAATCTAAAAATAGGTGAAAAACCCGCAAAATTAAAAAATCGATAAAACTTTTTGCTCTCGAAAAATTTGGAGGCCGTAAAAAAATATAATACTCTACTTACCACGCTCTACAATCTTATCCATTCGCTTTTTACTAATTTCGTAGCATTTTTTTGTAAAACCTTGTAGAAGTTTACAAACCTGTTCCACTCCAACCCTAAAAAATCCCGAAACACAAAAATTCTACGTACCCAGAAGGAATCAAAAAATAGAATGCTGTTCTGACTTTCTTATTCACGCAAATACGACCCAAAACAATTACGTTTTCACGGAGTAATTAAATGAAGAAGAAACTAAATTTATTTTCGCTTTTTTGGCAACTTTGGCATTGTGTTGCAGTTTTGATGTGTGGTACATCTTATGGTGTCTATTCAAGCCACTGATACAGCTGAAAATGTAATTCGCAACATCCAACTGCCAAATTTATTGTTTGAATTTCCTGTTGTAAGAAAATGTTAGATGATTTCCCAACATTCCCGCAGAATC